CTCTGGCTGTTTAGAACACACTGCAGCCATCACACAACTGATTAAAGAAGCAAAACAACGGAGGAAAACCCTAGCAGTCGTTTGGCTTGACCTAGCCAAGGCCTATCCGAGTGTCCCACACCAGCTTATAAAGACAGCACTGACCCACTATCATGTCCCAGATGAAGTCATCAGTCTCCTCATGCATCATTTTGACACTCTTAAGATGCGGTTTACAGTAGAAGACTATACCACCAAATGGCAAAGACTAGAGAAGGGCATAATGGCTGGGTGCACAGTCTCAGTGGTGCTATTTGTGGCAGCCATGAATGTCATCCTCTATGGGCAAGGTTGAGAATTCCTACTGTCAGTGAACAGCCCATTAAATGCCTCGGTAAACACTATGATGATTCCTAATGAACGACATCAACAATACTAACAATGTTGTGTGTGAGCTCAAGAGATGGCTCGGAGTGATTGACAAATGCCAGCTCCAGGGCAAGTTCAAGGCATGGGCGTTCCAGCATGGAATTATCTCAAGACTACAATGGCTGTTTCTGCTTTATGACTTCCCTATGGGCAAGGTTGAGCAAATGGAGAGAATGTCATCAAGGTTCCTTAGGAAATGGCTAGGTGTACCACCTTCATTCAGCAGAGGTATTCTATTCAGTAAATCTCCCAAGCTCAGCCTCCCGGTAACTTCAGTACTTGAAGAGTACAAAGCAGCCAAAGTAAGAGCAGTAACCACTCTTCGCTCTTCAAAGGACAATAAAGTTACTAGCTCGGGAGAAACAATATCGAGCGGAAGGGGATGGAATCCTCAACAGGCAATCGGTATTGCTGAAAGCCAACTCCGTCATAAGGACATAGTAGGTGTCGTTTGCAAAGGCAGGATGGGCCTTGGAAACTATGGCACATCCAGGTGGAAAGATGCCAACACAGAGACAAGAAGGAAGCTTGTAGTACAGCAGATAAGGCAATCAGAGGAAGAGGGTAGACAGGTGAGGTTAGCACAATTAGTCAAACAGGGTGCATGGACCCACTGGGAGTCTACACTCGATCGACAGCTCTCATGGAAAGACATATGGGATATGGAGCAGGGCAAGATTAGCTTCTTATTACGAGCAATATCTGATCTTTTACCATCTCCTGCCAATCTCACTACCTGGGGTCTTAATGAAGATGCATCATGTATCCACTGTTGAGCTCTGAGAAGTAACATCCAACACATCCTGAGTTCGTGCAAGGCTGCACTTGCAGAGGGAAGGTACACATGGAGGCATGACAAAGTTCTTCAAAAGATTTCTCACTTGGTGGACCAATCACGGATCATGAACAAAACGAATGCAACTGTAACACCAGGACCAAGGGCAGATATGTTGCAACCCTTAGAGAAACATTTTGTGGGTGCTAACGCAAATCCTAAAGGGAAGGTTTTGCCTAGCGGTAGCAGGCACACCTCTCGAGGAAGATATGGCATCTTACAACAAGCACAGGACTGGGAGCTGAGAGTAGATCTACACCAAAGACTCACATTTCCCAGCTGTATCACGACAACAAACCAAAGACCAGATATGCTTTTATTCTCAGAGGATAAAAGAATTGCTGTTATGATAGAACTGACAGTACCTTGGGAAGATCGCATTGAGATAGCACACCAACTCAAAAGCGCAAAGTACCAAGATCTGGTTGAGGAGATAGAGGCCAAAGGGTGGAAAGTTCATTACTATCCCGTTGAAGTAGGTTGTAAAGGATTTCCATCAACATCTCTCAACCAAATGTTCAAGAACGTAGGACTCCAACCCTCATGGCTCAAGAGAGCAAACAGAGCAGTTGGATCTGCAGCAGAGGAAGCCTCCCGCTGGCTCTGGCTGAGGAGAAATGACAAATGGGCAAAGGGGAGACAACATTAACCAACAACTTATTTGACAATTGCTAATACATTCATCGAGGGTTTGTTCACCATCCCTTTACCAACCATTGAGCCAAATATGATTGTAAACACATTCTAGATAACTGAATTGTTAAGATTTGTTTGGGTTACCTTTTTTGGCACACCCTGCATTATACAAATACTGTATACCAATCAAGCTTTTGAGTATTTTTTTAGAACTTTTGATAATACTCAAGTTAAAGTGAAATGCAACTCCTGCCAGGTACTGAAAAAATACACAATCCTTTCCGCAACAGGGTTGAGTATTAAACAAATACTGGATGACCATGAGGTGGATATGCCAGAATACCTATCCGAGGAAAAAAATGCTAGGCGAGGCGATTATTATGCACCTCCCTTGAGAAATACTTTATTTTAAAGAATGGGTCTAGTTAAACAGAAGCCGAGCCTATACTAAAAAAAACCTGGTGACAATCAAAAATTCCATTTATTCTCTCATTTGGCCTTATAAGTATTCCCTCCATATATAGCCTAATAAGTTTGGCCGATGCCTTATCTAGCGCCACCTACCTTTCGTCAGTTAATCACAGGAAATTGAATATAAATCTCATTCTCTCCACAGAGAGCTTTTTACATATGATTTGTATCGTAAAAATGTATATTTACTCTAAAAGCTCTCTGTGATTCTCTCATATCACGCAAATCATTTCTCCCTCGCATTCGTCTCAAATTCAACATGGAAGAGATTCTAAGACGTCATGACATCATCGACAAATGGACTTGTCGAAAGTATTTTTTCGAGGATAGGTATTCTGGCATACAGGATGGTTGGAGATCTCGTTGCTTCAATACTGGATCGAACGAGATCTTGCTGCCACGTATGGCATTAGACCCTGCAGCTCTTAACCAATCAGATTTGAGTATTTTAATGAGGTGCATAATAAAAAAAAAATACTGGTCAGTTTTTGAAAAGCCAGGTATTGTCAAATTACCAGCAACATAGAACCAATCAGATTTCAGTGTCTAGATAAGGTGCATAATAAACTACTGTATTAATGTTTTACATGTTCAAACATGAGTTTGATTTTCTGCTCATGTTGCACAGTAGGCATTTCTATTTCAACATGTTTATTTCATAACAATTTTGATCATGTATACAGGGTGACCCAAAATAAACAGAACCCTCCAAAAATGAAAAAATAACTTCTTTAATACAAATGTAATAAGCTTCATTTTTCATGTGCAGAAACTACAATCTATGGATGACAATGTGAGACTTAATTTGTTATATAAGAATCAGTATTCTTGCTATGGTCAATTAAAAATGTGCCCACTTTTGACAGAAAAGAAAATGTAAGATTTGTGTGTCAACCAAAGGGTTACACTTTGTCTAAACATATCACATTATTTTAGGTTCTTGTTTAAAGCTGCATTTTGTGAGTATAGAGGGTAAGATCATTAATGGGGATGTGTCCAAACAACCTTTAGGTGTGATTGCACCTTATGAGTGATGTTTTGTAACTACGTTTAATGAAATTACACACAGTGCTTTCAGGTGTTCTTGCTAAGAAAGCTCCCAAGATAGGAAAGCTGATCATTTTTTCCATTAAGGTGTTTCACAGTTCTCCTTTCTTCCTTTTCCCACTCATTCTTAAATATTTGCAATCATAATATTCATAAAAGTTTAAATAGTCAGTGTTCCTGTAACAATTTGACACATTTACCATTACTAATTCATTATTTTTTAATTGAAATATTAAATGAGTTTGACTCTTCTTTGGAACTTCTTTCTGAAGTTCTCATAAAATCCCAAGATATGATTTGTCAAAATGTTGATTTTTTGAAAATTGGACACATTCTAAGGCCATCCAAGATATCACAAATAATCAATTTTGTGAAACAATCTTATTGTTTATGTGTTTTTCACGTAGGTAAACCAATTTGAGGAAAAATATGAATATGAATTCATTATCTCCAAGTAAAGTACATATAATGACAACTGGGTAACAGCAATGGCTTCTAAACTTGGGCCAACAACATTGAAGGTCAAATCTTAAATGTAAAGTCAGATTTGAACTTCTGAAAACTTGTAGATGGTCTGGAAAAAATTGAAGTCAGTCTAAACAGTATTTGTTAAAGGTGGAATAGCAGTAACTCTTAAAAACTTCAAAATAAATCGTTGGTGCCTCAAACCTACCCTGATGAATGACTATTACCTGAACTTACTTTTGTCAAAATACAGCAACATGAAAAAAATCACTCACCTCGTTATCAACAAAAGAAGTTTCAGTTTTGATGACTGCGAGAGCAAAATTCAAGCTGAGCTTACTGGTTTTTGTTTGTCTTAAAAGTTACCTTCTTTTTAACCGCTTCATCTGGTGAATGAATCATTGTTTTTGTGTCACATGATCATTGTTTTGTGTCACATGACCTACCTTTAAACCCTTCGCCACCTATCCTAAGTTCATTGAATTAAAATGAAATCTTTCGATCCAAGAAGAAAATTCGCACAAAAATAATAAACTCCGCTTGACATAATCCTTGTCACTCGTCTTTTTGATGACACACATCGGAACGTGGGATTCATAGCCTTTCAACCATACCACAAAAAGTATGTATATTACTTGTTCAACATGTTTAATTGTGGTAATATTTTCGGCATTCCACCTCTAAGTTATTGAAAGTTTTAAGAATATGTTACAGATGCAACCGCCACCCGCCATTGTCAACCACCTCCACAAAAAACAGAGACCATAACAAATTATGTCACCACTTCTTGGTGGTGACATAAAAAGTATGTTGATGGGTTGATTGCTAACTAAATATCTCCGAATCTGATTGACTTTATTATCATTGTATATACTTTTCTTGAGTTATGAATGGACCTAAAAGATGCACCAGTCTTCATGGTCAGAAAATAGTCATAATCCAAGATATAACCATCTGAAATTGTTTGCGATTACCTATTATTAAGTGCTATTTGATGAAGCAAACATATTCATTCGTTAACATTCGCTTGGTTACTGAATGCAAAATAATTCTCAGGTATAACTGCTGTTCAAATGACTTGATCATTATAAGTGATTTGATTTTGTTGCTACATATGCTTAATGGTCTTAATACTTACTGATATGTTTCCTAATTGAGTTAGTGGAAATTTTATCTTGGCAGACTTTTTGACAAGTGATGGCCATTGTAAGCTGGCCTGAGCTGAGAAATGGAACCCCTTTACTTGGCTGGTGTCAACTTGTAATGTAGTATTCACCCTAAAAGGAAGAATAATATCATGTAACACATATTTACAGTACGTATGAAAAATGTAAAAAAAGTAAATCAATAAATAAAACAAAAACAAGGACACAATGGGTGATCCTGTCAAATGGTTATCCTAAAAATGAGTAGACAAGACTTTACCGACACAATATGGTACGGAAAATCCAAAATCGCCACCTTAAAATTTACCCAGAATGCCCAAAAAATTAGTCAGTTCTAGATTTTCATACTAAGAAGACAAGACTTTACAGACAAGATTTTAGGACAGAAAATCCAAAATGGCTGCCTTGACATTTACCCAGAATGCCAAAAAACTAAGCAGATCTAGATTTTTATACAAAAAATCATCCCTGAAAATTTGAAATTGATCTACCAAACGGTTCACCTAAAAAAAAAACACGTAGACAATACAGGCAAGATTTTTAGACAGAAAATCCAAAATGGCTGCCTTAACATTTATTCAGAATGCCAAAAAACTAATCAGATCTAGATTGTCATACTAAGAATTATCCCTAAAAAGAAAAAAAAAAAAAAAAAAGAATTATCCCTAAAATCTGGAAAGGCCTGGGCAAGACTTTACGGACAAGATTTTATGACGGAGAATCCAAAATGGCTGCCTTGACATTTACCCAGAATGCCAAAAAACTAATCAGATCTAGATTTTCATAATAAGAATCATCCCTGAAAACGCTTCGACAAGACTACAGACAAGATTTTAGGATGGGAAAATCAGAAATGGCCGACAATAATAAAGTGATTATGAGTTTTTGCTGATTTCTTTTTACAAAATTCAAAATGGCTGACATGACTGAGCTAACAGGTCTAAAACCTAATCAGATGAGAATGAAGTGAGCTGAACAAGATGTTAAAGTTTTAAAAGCAACTGTGAAGCCGTTTTTTGCAGACAAGGATTTTAGCATTTGACTTCAAAATGGCTGATAGGAAGTAGGTATCGAGTTAAAATTTTTTTCATCCACATATGTATGCACTCATAAGTCACCTGACCCTGTGCATTAAGTTTTACAATATCTAAAACTTGGTTCAAATCTAACTTTGGCCCATTGTACTAAAGGAATGATTAGTAACCCAAACATGAATGCATGTAAATTCAATTAACAAAAAATACATGAAATATCATTAAAAAAGGAGAAATGCGGCTTAATTAAATAAAATTGATACAGTTATTACTTGTTTTGTGGTTTTACGATTTATTTGCTTGTTTATAGCATTTCTCATATGTAACTTTATATGTCTTTATACTTAATGTAGTTGACGGAAACACAAAATGAAATACTTTCAAAAGGGCTGATGTGAAAAAGTCAGTGCAACTATGTAGAAATAAAATCCATAACCATTCCATATTATGGATATAGTTGAGGACATGAAAAGCTGAAATTTGAACCACCATGTGAGACTAGAGGTCTGACTGATGAGAACTGATAATAAGCCTGATGAGTAATCTGATAATTAGAGTTGTAATGTTAGAAATATTCATACTAAAAAGTGATTAGGATGAAAAAATGTCAAAAATCCACATGTTGTTTTCAATTATTTCTAAAAATGGCACTTTTTATTCTAGAAACAAGAGAAACAGCAACTCCCCAGAAAGCAAGTTTCAATGAACAAAACATAATACATGTATATCAAATCACTTCAGAAGCCATCATGAAATATCTTTCCGAACCTGTTGGAACAAAATAACATAATTACAACATTTTCTTAGACCTCTCAATATTATAGTTATACAAAGGAAAATTTGGTTGGTTTAAAAATGCAACAATTAGTGCAGAGGTGCCATTCAAGGATGGACCAGTGTCAAAATATATCTAAGTTTGGATATTTCATCCAGACTAACATATAATTTTATGATCTACACAGAAAAACACAGGATGAACATTATTTCAGCTGATATTCTGCTTGAAACATCGTGGATCTTAAAAATCTATAAGTGGGACTCCCTTTATAGAAGCTTTGAATTGTCACTTCTTAATGCTGAAATTGATAGTTAATCATACATTTTTCTACAGTACTTGTTGCCCCTTTAATGAAAAGTATTCAAAAAAAATTAAAACAAAACCCCCCCAAAAATATAGAAATTAAAGTAAACCTTTTATTTCATTAACAAGATACTTTTTTAAATCAACCAAACTCTCCTTTGTACAATTACAATATTGAGAGACCTAAACATGTTGTGTATGTAATTTTGTTCCAATGAGGTTCGGATAGATGTTTCTCTTCATTCCAAACATATGATACCAAGAACAAAAGAAGTGTCTGATGTGTTTTCTAAAACAATATAGAGAAAGGTATATATATATTTTTTTCAAATTAAACTGTTACCATTCAGAAGATGATCACTAGATTGACGACGTGTAAAATTTTCAAAATGACTGGTTTATGAGACACATGTGTTCAATTCAGTTGCTATATTGATACCAATCCTTTAATCATCTTACATCTTATTTACTCATCATATAACCATGTGTCACATCAAAATCTGTCTTATTTACTTATTTATGAGTCAGTCAAATTCTACCACTAGTCTAGATTGTTTTATACTTTTGAATTCTGCCCTAAATGTGTATCTTCACAAGGAAAATATCTATTATTTCATAAGGTCCAATAGTTCACTTACACCGAGTTAGGTTTAACTTCATCCCATTTCTGCTGGAACCGTGTGTATAAATACTGGTCTGTATTTGCAACTTCTTCTTCAAGGGTCATTCCCACCAACCATCGATGCCCAGCTGAAACAAAAATATGCAAACTAGAAAACAGCAACTCCAGAGAGTAGCAAATCCCACCAAAAAATGTTTTGATAAATAACAGTCATCTTGAAGATATTTAATTAGGCAGAGCTCATTTGTCGATAGGTATCAGATGTCAATAAAAGTTATATATATATCCTAATATAAAATTTGAACCAATTCCAAATTATGTTTTTTTTACAAAAATATGGCAGACATTTTGAAATTCAACTGCCATCTTGAACTCCTTTTTTCCTAAGCATCAGCAGATAAAATTTGAACCAAATTCATTCATTTATATTAGAGTTATCAAAGATTTCATTTTTAATCACAAATGGCGGTCATTTTGATAAATAGTAGCAGTTTGAAAATTTCTCCAAGAGCAGAGCTTCTTTACTTCAAGGCATCATCAGTATAATTATAAAATTTGAACCAAGTCACAAACAAGTAAAGAAGTTTTTCAAACTGGTATTTCAGTGGCCATCTTGAAAATGCCTTCTTGAGTCGAGCTCCTTTGTCTCTAGGCATCACTGTGATCTCCCCAGAAAAAAATTTGATGTTCACTTTTCCTGCAAGAAATTCCTGATCAAATGCCGATTAAGATACATTTATACTGGTTTATACTTACTACAATTGATCCTTGTTTTTTCCTGCGATATAAACCAAAACAACCCAATAAGGTGTGTATTAAATATTTAGTTTCCTGTTATCTCAAAATCTGCTTGGAACTCAACTATTGGATTTCCATGGGAATTCCTCAAATAGAAAATTCTAGAGATTAAAGAATGTGTACAGTTTACACAATTTGAGAAATTATTGGCATACATGAAACCTATTGAAAACAGCATTTATATTATTCAAAAATTAAAATAGATAATCCTTGAAAATGAGAAATATTTTTTGGGATTATATGGTGCAATCCTATAGTCAATAAATTGTTTTAAAGTGTATTGATGTTTTTTGGAGGAAAAACATAAGCGAAATGCATGAAAAAACTCCCCAAATTCACTCGACAAACAACTCCCCCTCCTTTCCAGATTCTAAATAAATTAGAGCCATTCAAAACAACATTTTCGGGAGAATCTATTGTTGGATTTACACTAGCGCGCTAAGACATCAAAAGCTAAACGTTTTAGCGTTAAAACATTTTACAAATGTAATATAAATCCAGATTTACTCAAGAGCTCTCGGCTAAGAGCGCTTAGCTAAAACCTTTTAGGACCCTAGTCATAGCCTAGTGTAAATGCGAGTGTAAAGTTGGGTACAAAGTATAGAAGCGGGAAAGGAATAGCTATATTGACTGAACTATCCTTCAACCAGTACTGAACTGCTTTTTTCATTTTACATGTATTACCTACATATCTCTATAGGTAGTAAGCTAGCACCCAAAAATGTATTAGTTCGTGAACAAATTGAAATTACTTGTTTCTTATGTATTTTTATGTGATGCTTCAGAAATTTTTTGTCTGACGTGCCATATCCGGGGCGAAAATTGTCAAAATGGGGTTTTCGACCCTAAAATGGAAAATTACAGGGGGTACTTTATCATCACTCGATAAATCATTCTGTTAGTCTTCAATCATAACTAGACTTTGGAAATTGAACGTAGTTCAATTTCAGACTCCAGATCTAGACTTTTTTAAGCCCAGTCATCTAAAATAAGCCGAGTCATCCAGAATAAGCTGAGTCATGCAGAATAAGATGGATGGATAAAATAGGAAGGTAGGATAGGATAGAATGGGAAGGAACGATGGGATAGAATAAGAAAGAAGGATAGGATAGAACAGAATAGGAAGAAAGGATATGATAGGAGAGGATAGGAAGGATAGGAAGGAAGGATAGATAGGAAGGATAGGATAGGATCAGATAGGAAGGATAGGATAGGATCAGATAGGAAGGATGGATGAATTTTTCAATATTTTCTTCTCTACTCTTGACTTTCTATCAGGATATCATCAGATCGATTTCCCAAAATTTCAAAACGCCATAACTTCCGAAGCGGAAGTCGGGTTGAAATTTGATTTAAAGATTCGGATTCCTGACAAAATTCTACCCCTAATTCATAACTCATACGTTAAATTTGGCGAATTTTTATTTTGACCTACTTTTTGGACACGCCATAACTTCGGAACCGGAAGTCGGATCAAAATTTGGTTTACAGATTCGGATTTCTGAGAAAATTCTATTCTTAATTCATAACTCAAACGTTAAATTTGGAGAAATTTTTATTTTGACCTACTTTTCGGACACCATATCTCAAAAGTGGGTCAAAATACTTTCTGACCGCAAAGGGCTAACACTATAAGCACACTCTTGGCTACACGTATACAAAATTTCGAACAATATAATTAAAGTGTAGTGTCAGAATCGCAAAAATAAGGAAAAACTTTGAATTTGACCTAGATTTTGACCTAGGCCCTGGACTTGATTTAGACCTAGACTTGACTTGGACCTGGACTTGGATTGAATGAGAAGGAAGAATAGGATAGAATAGGAAGGAAGGATAGGAAGGAAGGATAGATAGGAAGGGAGAATCATCCAGAATAAGATCATCTAGATAGAAAGGATAGGATAGACCTAGATTTTGATCTAGGTCCTGGACTGGATTTAGACCTAGACTTGACTTGGACAAAACTGGACTTGGACCTGGACTTGACCTTGACTTGGACCTGGAAATGGACTGGTATTTTTTCAATTTTATTTCACTTTTCTTGACATTCTATGAGGGTACCATCAGATCGATTTTTCTCGAACTTTCAAAACGTCATAACTCCTGAACCGGAAGTCGGATTTCAATTCGGTTTTCAGATTCGGAATCCTGAGAAAATTTCCTATAAGACTAATATCCTGGACATTGGATTCGGAGAACTTTTTTACGGACCTCGTTTTCGGACACTGATATCTCGAAATCGGTCCGAGGTATCAAAAAACTAAATCGACCCTAGCTTTCCTACTTTTTTATGAGGAACACAATGAAAAAAACCAGGATCGAAAATACTGAAGGACGACTGAGAAAATCGAAAAAAGTGACAAAGTACTGGATTTGACCCAGTTCCTGACCTTTGACCTAGATAAAAATTTGACCCAATTTCCAAACAACTAGATACTGAACCCAAATGAACTGTATAATGGTCTTTATTGGATACCTTATGGTTAAGGAGAAAACGTGTTTAGAAGAAGAATAATAATAACTAGACATGTAAATTGAACAAGTTCAATTTAAGACTCCAGATTTAAAATTTTTTTTAAGCTGAGTCATCCAAAATACTGTAAGCTGAGCCATTCAGAATAAGCTGAGTCATCTAGAATACAGACATTTAGACAACTCTTAAGTAAGTTATCTTCGTCTCCATTGGCTTAACATGGGGATATCATAATATCGACTTTTCGAGACTTCAAACAACTATAACTATCTAACCAGAATTTGGGTCGAAATTTGGTTTGCAGATTCGAATTTCTGAGAAAATTCTACGTTTGTGTCATAACTCATACATTAAATTTTGAGAACTTTTTGTGTTGACCTACTTTCCGGACGCCATTCCTCAAAATCGGTAAGAGTAATCAAAAAAGACAGTTACAATAATGAAAGGACTGTATTTTAGCTACATGATGAAAGAAAGATAAAGGAATAACGATGAATAGTGACAAAGATAATTGACATAACATGGGATATCAAAATACCAATTTTTTAATTTTTCAAAACGCCATTACTTCCATACCGAGTGTCGGATTGAAATTTGATTTGCAGATTCGGATTCCTGAGAAAATTCTACCCTTAATTCATAACTCATACGTTAAATTTGGAGAAACTTTCATGTTGACCTACTTTTCGGACACTATATCTCAAAAGTGGGTCAAAATACTTTCTGACGGCAAAAGGCTAACACTATTAGCACACTCTTTGCTACCTGTGTCCAAAATTTTGAAGCAAATAATTAAAGTGTAGTGTCAGAATCGCAAAAATAAGTTAAAACTATAAATTTGACCTAGATTTTGACCTAGGCATTTTGGTGTCCAAATTGTGAAGCTAGCTAGCTTTTGAGGTCGCTTTCTTTTATAGGCTTTCATTATGTAAAGCTGTACTTAGTCTATATCTCGTATTTTACACTTCAAAAAAATATTTTTCCCATTGCCATAACATGGGGCACCAAAATTAGCGATTTTTGAGCTTTCAAAACGCCATAACTTCCCAACGAAAAGTCGGATTGAAATTTGGTTTGCAGATTCGGATTCCTGAGAAAATTCTACCCTTTATTCATAACTCATAAGTTAAATTATGAGAAATTTTTATTTTGACCTACCTTTCGGACACCATATCTCAAAAGTGGGTCAAAATACTTTTGACGGCAAAAAGCTAACACTATAAGCACACTTTTGGCTACCTGTATACAAAATTTCGAAGAAAATTATTAAAGTGTAGTGTCGGAATCGTAAAAATAAGGAAAAACTATGAATTTGACCTAGATTTTGACCTAGGCATTTTGTTGTCCAAATTTTGAAGCTAGGTAGCTTTTGAGGTCCCTTTCTTATATGGGCATTCATTATGTTAAGCTGTGCTCAGTTTATATCTTGTATTTTACACTTCGAAAAAGTCTTTTTTTCCCATTGGCTTAACATGGGCACCAAATTTAGCAATTTCAAAACGCTATAGCTTCCAAACCGGAAGTCAGATCAAAATTTGGTTTGCAGATTTGGATTCCTGAGGAAATTTTACACTTATTTCATAACTCATACGTTGAATTTGGAGAACTTTTTTGTTTGACCTACTTTCCGGACGCAATATCTCAAAATCGGTAAAAGAAATCAAAAAACTGATTACTCACTGTCGAATCGTCTTTTTCTTGGCTACACGTTGAAAAAAAAAAATTTGAAAAAATATTGAAAAATGACAGAGATAATTGACAAAATAATAATTTGACCTAGATTTTGACCTTTGACCTAGATAAAAATTTGACCTAATTTCCCAGAAACTAGGTCTCATTACCTATTTAACCATGTAAGCAGATTTCAGAAAGTCCCTCTAGTTGCTGAGAAAACGCGGAAAGAAAGAATAATAAGAAAACTGGCAAAAGCAATAGACTCCAGATTTTCAATCTGGAGTCTAATAATAATAAGAATACTGGCAAAAACAATAGACTCCAGATTTTCAATCTGGAGTCTAATAATTAAGTGGGGAGTTGATTGGATCATGCTGAGGTAGTATGTAAAATTCCAATGCTCTGTCACTCATGGTTGTCATGGACACCACAATTTTCGTTCAAAATATCCTTAATTTTGCAAAACCTGAACATGTACATCATGTAGAATATGGATTATTTTTCGAATCAATACATATCAGCACATTTTAGCACACTCAAAATAACCAGTACAGTTCAAACATTTGTTTAAATATAAAGGATATTGCAATTTACATGATTGGTCAGTGTCAAAGAACATACAATTACATGAGTGATCGAAAAGTGGGCGTCGCCCCCATAATAGTAGATGATTGCTATACTCTATAAAAACAGAGTTTAACTTGACTTTTGAGATACATTTACACTAGACTTATTTGATTATATTTTATATCAAGCATTTCTGGTAAATAATGTACATCTTAGTGTCATAGTTATTGCATGAGGGGGGGGGGTACAGAGGGGGGCTAGTAAAAGAATTGTGAGGAGGCAGAGCTAATCAGTCTTAAGTATAAATCTCATCTACATATATCTGGATTTCATGGGGTACATCTTCTGCATGGGTCTTCTTCATATTCATCTCAGTATATGGGATATTACAACTTACATAATTGGTCAGTGTCAAAGAACATACAAATTTACACAAGTAATCAAAAGTGGGCGTCGCCCCCATACTAGAGTAGATGATTGCTATTCTCTATAAAAACAGAGTTAAACTTGACGTGAGATACATTTACATTGGACTTCTTTGATTATACTTTATATTTTCTGGTAAATAATGTACAACTCAGTGCAATGGTTATTGCATGAGGAGGGGTGAGGTTAGTAACAGAATTGGGAGGGGGCAGAGTTAATCAGCCTTAGGAATAAATTCTTTCTTTTGGACTTCTTCATAGAGTATTTTCTGGGTCTTCTTAGTTATCTCAATATACTGTATATAGTTACTGTATGGGAGGGGGGTAGTAACAGAATTCGGAGGGGTGGGGGGAACAAGTCAGTATTAAGTACTAATATATAGTTCTGGATTTCACAAGATACATCTTCTAGAGTCTTTCTGATTCATCTCCTGGTGCTATATCAACAATCATTTGTCTGAGAATACCAGTCAATACCCAATGCAGTTCAGTCATTCAGTTTCCATCCATGTCCATCGTCTGCTGGAATGTCAGGGTTTACAATATGGGCCATATGCACAATAAGTGCTTTGTAGTAAGCTCTTGACAAGGTGGAAGAAGACTGATGTTGGTTCCTTCATAGTATATATGACTCTCTGGGCCCATATGGGCCCTAAGGAAATATCATACTAAATTTCATGGATTCTCTGATGGGTTGTTATGTGTCTGGAGCTGGCAGAAAATACACGTTTTTCAAGATACTTCTAACAGCAGAGTGATTATGAAATACACGTTTTTCAAGATACTTCTAACAGCAGAGTGATTATGTGATAATTAAATCCAAAATTCTATAAACGAACCTGATAGGAGAAGAGGGTGGTGGCACCTCACCTTATCAAATGTAGAAATACATGAGTCCCTTAAGATTGGAATGAGTTCATGAATAAGGATGCAAACAAGAAGCAACTATACCAGTTACACTTAATTGAATAAGACCAGGATATGCCAAGAAAAAATCTACTGTGTAGCAGGTGGGAAATGCCATATCCTTTCTAGTGATCATCATGATAAACCATGAAATTTTATTTCTTCCCAGCCCTTCAGGTGAGACAGAAAGATGCTATGAGTATCATAATGTCTAGTCATGGCAATACAATAACAACTATTGATGAGCCTTCTCATAGTCTGATCATTTTCATTCTTGTGATTTATCGCATACTATTGATATATCAACAATCTCTCAAGAGAAAATACCACTAAACACTTGCAGATTTGAGAGTCATTCAGCTGGGACACAATATGGTGCTCCATCTTTTTAAAATGTGCTATCCTGCCCCTTCAAAGCCTGGCACTTACTTCATCTAGCGAAGGTATGAAGGCTGCATATATTATGCCAGGCCCTAGATGGGAGTAGTAACAGAGAAATTGGGAGGGAGTAGAGCTCCCTCCTAGGTCTGAAACCACTTCCCCACCCTCACCTCATGTAAAAACTATACTACTAAACATATTTATGAGAAATGGTTTATATAAATTATATTTGAACATGACTGTATTCACGCCTTCTATAAACTGTGAACAAAGTCAACATTTTACCCGGGGTATATATGTCAACACTACCCTTGGTAATACGAGTAATGTGTGACATCAAGAGGGCTGTAGTAATGGCAGACCATAAGTTGAATATTCGAAAAATTTTGGGGAGTTTTCATGTTTGAATTGTAATATATACCTCAGAGCAGGTGTGATATTGACAATGACCCCTTAGGGCTAGGTACAAAAGCTTTCACACCCCTCACTCTCTTACATAGCCATGTGGAGTGTATTTGTCAATATAACACCTGCTCTTCAGTCTATATTTCTTAAATAATAGAAGTATAGATGACAGTGATCTTCCAAGCATTAAAGCAAGTGGGCGCAGTACCCACCTGAGATTTTGAAAATAGGTTTGCACCCACCTGAAAATCCATATGCACCCACTTGAAAGTTAGAAATATCATGAAAAATTGGCATATTTTGACCAATTTTGGTCTAAATTGTGAAAAAGAAAATTTTGTACCCACCTAAGAAGAAATCCTGGGGAGATCACTGGGTGATCTTAAAACACAAGTTGACCTCTGTTTGTAGAGAATGAACCATATACTGCTGTTGGGGAGATTCCCACTTTTGATCACTTATGTAATTGTTTGGTTTTGGATACTTACCTATCTAATCATGTTTATTGTAATATCCTATATATTGAGATGAATATGAAGAAGACCTAGAATATGTACGAGTTCCTAAGTAAATCCAGAACGAAGTATTATGAGCCCTCTTCCAGTTTCTATTACTACCCCCCCCCCTCTCTCTCAACCTGCCTCTCATGCAATAACTATAAAACTCAGATGTCACTGGTCAGTATCGAGCGATTGTAGTACCTATATATTGTAATGAAAATGAAGAAGACCCAGAAGATGTAACCTTTGAATATCCAGAACTATATAAATGAGAATTATACTAAGGCTGATTAGCTCTGCCCCCTCCAAATTCTGTTACTACCACCCCCCCCTCCGCTCCCCATGCAACAACTTTTACACTTATAAGTACATTATTTACCAGAAATGCAAGATATTAAGTATATTCAAAGAACTTCAATATAAATGTATCTCAAAAGTCAAGTTAAACTCTGTCTTTTCAGAGAATGGTAATCATTTACTATTATGGGGGCGACGACCACTTTTGATCACTTATGTAGTAGTATGGTCTTTGACACTTACCAATTATATAAATTGCAATATCCTTTATGCTTAAACAAATGCTTGAACTTCCCTGGCCATTTTGGGTGTGCTAAAATATTCTTATATCTGTTGATTTGAAAAATAATCCTCATTCTATATTATATACCTGTACAGGTTTGGCCAAAATTAAGGATTTTTCAATGAAAATTGTGGTTTCCGTGGCAACCATGAGTGACAGGTGATTGAACCTTAACATACTATCTCAGCATGATCCAATCAACTCCCCATAAAATTATTATGATGATTGAAGACCAACTGAAGGATTTATTCAATGATGATAAAGTACCCCCTGTAATTTTCCATTTTAGGGTCGAAAACGCCAATTTGACAACTTTCGCCCCGGAAAGGGCGCGTCAGACAAACATTTTCTGAAGTATCACATAAAAATACATAAGAAACAAGTAATTTCAATTTGTTCACGAACTAATACATTTTTGGGTGCTAGCTTACTACCTACTAAGACGCTTTAGGAAAACAGGTGTAAACTCGATCTTATTTCCTAAGATGTCTCGAAAATGGTAATGTAAACTCAACTTAATTTTTCTAGAACATTTTAGTCAAAACGTCTTGGAATGCTGCATGTAGTGTAAATTAGCCTCATGTGGCCCTAGCTGAAACAGTGTTCCTTTAGGGGTAAATAGTCATGAGAATTGTTTCAGATATTTATATGTAAGCTTTTTATTTAGTAGCAGTGTATATATAACTTTTATATATAACTTTTATTGACATCTTGTATCATAACATGTACATGTATTATAAATAGTAATCTAATCTAATCGATCGGCAAATAATTGATTGTTACAATATCATGAAAAATCATGTGATCCCTGATCACTGTTGTTCTGTCACAGGTTGTTCGTTAAATCAGCTTTAAAATAACGGGTTAATTTATGAAAATTGATAGGTTAATCAGGTAGCCTGAAGCTGTTCGTTACATTCGCTAATATAAGCAATCTTAAAAAAAGGGATATTTCGAACTTCCCTAAAAATATAAAATGCAATCTTGTATACTGCTGGTAACATTAATATATTATACTATTTGTATATATCTTACTTTGAGTGGATGTGGGTTGACCAGCATAACAGGTATCTCCTACACGGCACCTGCCCTGAACATCAAAATACACCGTACCAATCTAGAAACAAATATTGGAAGTAAAACATTAAAATGCACTGTATCAATCTACAAATATTGTAAATAAGACATCAAAATACACTGTACCAATCTACAAATATTGTAAATAAAACACCAAAATACACCTGGCCAAAATCTTCATCAGGTGTAAAAATTGATAATCTGTAACATGTGTACTAGGAGTGAAACTGGTTGAAAAGAGTTGGCTATGTTACAAATATACTGTCCATCATAGTTTTTCTAAAGCGGCGTGCAAAACAGAGCCTCAAAGTGCGCTCCTCAAAGTGAGAAATAAATGACATAATTGTCCTAAACACCATTGGAAAGGTAAGAGTGTTGTACCAAGTGTGTCTCAGCCAATCAGCTTAGAGTATTCTTAAAAAATGGTGACACCATATCATCAATATTTTCCAACTCTTTAACAGAAAGGCAAAGGAATATTTAATGTAGACTATAATATACATAAAACAAACTTAATCAAATGTAAAATATTATATAATACAATGCTAAAGCAATTACACATATCAAGCTTCTGAGTTGAATAATGCAAATTGACTTTAAAGTAATTGCAAATCTATTTCAAAAGTCTCAAGTGGATGTAGTGCTAGGTAGATCACATGATGTGGTTAATTCATATACTCATGTTCAAACTTGATTACCTTTGTATCTTTATTTGGCTCGAGGACTACTAGATCTTTGGCTGGTGTGAAGTAAAACCTACTATCATGGGGTTGGAACATGACTTTCTGTAGCTCCATGGATTGGCTGAATGAACTGTGTATTGTGAGGTTTCTATATGGTATCTTGCCCTAAAAGTATATATAAAATACATATTTCCCTATGACAGATTCTATTTTTTGAAAGCTTTAGTTAAACTAACGCTGCTCTACAGTGTATCAAACACAGTGTTTGTTACTTCAAAGGATTGGTATTGATATGGCGAACTGAATTCAACATTGTTTTTCTCTCAAACCAATAATTGAAATCATTCTGTAAAAATCACTGTCCTTTATGTAATGGTCATTGATTGACATGCATTAAATGCAAAAATGTATTTTATATTATTGTTTTTGTGATCAACTTTTGTTTTTTAGTTCAATTGTTTTTCATTCCTTTCTACCAATTCTTGAGAATGAAATTAAAGATCTTTCCAAACCTTGTTGGAGAAATAGCAAATACAAAACTTTCTAAGCCCTCTCAATATTAAAGTAATTAAAAAGGAGAGTTTGGTTTATTCAACAAGAAGTATTCAAAAATCAAAACAAAAAAACAACAAAAATAGATTAAAATTAAAATAAACATTTTAATTCATTAACAAGATACTTTTTGAAATGAACCAAACTTTCCTTTACAATTACACGTTGTGTTGATGTCGTTTTGTTCCAATGAGGTTTGGATAGATGTTCCATTTCATTCAAAACATATGATACCAAGAACAAAAGAAGTGTCTGATGTGTTTTCTAGAACAATATAAAGACAAGATCGCAAATGTGTACAAAATGTCCCCACCTATGGGTGATCCCGTCAAATGGTTATCCTAAAAATGAGTAGACAAGACTTTACCAACACAATTTGAGGACGGAAAATCCAAAATGGCCACCTTAAAATTTACCCAGAATGCCAAAAAACTAATCTGTTCTAGATTTTCATACTAAGAATCATCCCTGAAAATTTGAAATTGATCTACCAAACGGTTCACATGGAAATGCGTAGACAAGACTTTACAAACAAGATTTTAGGACAGAAAATCCAAAATGGCTGCCTTGACATTTATCCAGAATGCATAAAAACTAATCAGATCTAGATTTTCATACTAAGAATCATCCCTGAAAATTTGAAATTGATCTACCAAACAGTTCACCTGGAAATGTGTAGACAAGTCTTTACAGACGAGATTTTAGGACAGAAAATCCAAAATGGCTGCCTTGACATTTACCCGGAATGCCCAAAAACTAATCAGATCTAGATTTTCATACTAAGAATCATCTCTGAAAATTTGAAATTGATCTACCAAACGGTTCACCTGAAAATGGGTAGACAAGACTCCACAGACAAGATTTTAGGACGGAAATATCCAAAATGGCCGACAATAAAAAAGTGATTATGAGTTTTTGCTGATTTCTTTTTACAAAATTATCACATATAACTACTGTTAACATTTAACAACAAAGTACGCCTGAAATTATTTATAAAGCTACTAAATAGTTAAAGTATGAAAACTGAAAAACACCATTCAATATGATACGAAGTATTATCGTGGGCTAACTTTTCTTAAAACATTCAAAATGGCTGACATGACTGAGCTAACAGGTCCAAAACCTAATCAGATTTAGAATGAAGTGAGTTAACAAGATGTTAAAGTTTCAAAAGCAAATGTGAAGCTGTTTTTCTTAAAGTTTGCAGACAAGGATTTTAGCATTTGACTTCAAAATGGCCGACAGGAAGTAGCTATCGAGATATTTTTTTTCATCCACATCTGTATGCACTCATAAGTTATCCCTGAAAATGTGAAGGTGATATCTGTAGCAGCTTTGGAGAAAACTGCCAGATGTACGGACGGACAGCCGGACAGACAGACAGACGGACGCGCCTAGGCCGACAATATGGCCCCACACTATGTGGTGGGGACATAAAAAGTAAATTTTTTTCCAAATTTAATTTTTACCATTCAAAGATGATCATTAAATTGACAATGTGTAAAATTTTCAGAATTTTTTGATGACTGGTTTAAGAGAAACGTTTGTTCAGTTCAGTTCGCCATATCGATACCAATTCTTTGGGTGAAAATATCTCTATGCTATTATAAACACAAAGAGCAGCAAATGTCTGTTTCTTCATTCAAAGGATGATTCTCGGTTTGGAGAACGAAGTTCATCAATCTAAATGAGCATTATCCCTGCTTCGGACAACTTTGAATTTTTTACATAATATAGATTTGAATGTATTCTTTTGAATAGTCATAATTTAGTTTGGGTAATATTTCTAGATTTTTCGCAAAAAAATATTAGCGCAGTACACTTATGAACTTCTTTCCCCAAATCGAGACTTGTATTTTATTGAATCGGTCAAATTGAGCTTTATCCCTGCTTCAGACCAATTTGTTATTTTTACATCTTGTAGATTTAAATGTCCTCTTTTGAATATTCATAGTTTAATTTGGGTAATATTTCTATATTTTTCATGAAAAAAATTATTAGCCCAGGAGACTGTTCTCCAAACCGAGAATCGTCCTTTGAGTGAACAAAGATCCCTATGCTATTATAAACACAAAGAGCAGCGAATGTTTGTTTCTTCATTTACAAATTGGAGTAAACAAAGATCTCTAAGATTAAGAGTAGCAAATGTTTGCTTCTTCATTCAAATTTGGGTAAACAAAGATCTCTGTTATTATGTTTTCCTATTTGATAATCTAAGACAAGGCATTAACATGACAAAATGTCACCACCTAAAACAATTTGGTCAATTTAAAGCAAGTTGAAAAAATACCTCTTTGACTTTTTTTGACATTGAGAAGGTCATTGAAGGTCAAATGTCAAATGTAAAGTCAGATTTGAACTTCTGAGAATATGTAGATGATTTTGAAAAAAAATTAAGTAAATTTGAAGCAAGTTGAAAAAAGACCTTTTTGACCTTGAAAAGGTCATTGAAGGTCAAATGTCAAATCTAAAGTCAGATTTGAACTTCTGAGAACATGTAGATGATTTTGAAAAAAAAATTAAGTAAATTTGAAGCAAGTTGAAAAAAGACCTTTTTGACCTTGAAAAGGTCATTGAAGGTCAAAGGTCAAAATCAAATCTAAAGTCAGATTTGAACTTCTGAGAACTTGTAAAGTCAAATTTGAACTTCTGAAAAGATGTAGATGATTTTGAAAAAAAAATTGGTCAATTTGAAGCAAGTTGAAAACAGACCTTTTTTGACCTTGAGAAGGTCATTAAAGGTCAAATGTCAAATCTAAAGTCAGATTTGAATTTCTGAGAACATGTAGATGATTTTGAAAAAAAAAATTAGTCAATTTGAAGCAAGTTGAAAAAAGACCTTTTTGACCTTTTTTGACCTTGAGAAGGTCATTGAAGGTCAAATGTCAAATCTAAAGTCAAATCTAAAGTCATATTTGAATTTCTGAGAACATGTAGATGATTTTGAAAAAAAAATTTAGTCAATTTGAAGCAAGATGAAAAAATACCTTTTTGACCTTTTTTGACATTGAGAAGGTCATTGAAGGTCAAATGTCAAATCTAAAGTCAGATTTGAATTTCTGAGAACATGTAGATGATTTTGAATTTTTTTTTAGTCAATTTGAAGCAAGTTGAAAAAAGACCTTTTTGACCTTTTTTGACTTTGAGAAGGTCATTGAAGGTCAAATGTCAAATCTTAAGTCAAATCTAAAGTCAGATTTAAATTTCTGAGAACACGTAGATGATTTTGAAAAATTTTTTTAGTCAATTTGAAGCAAGTTGAAAACAGACCTTTTTGACCTTTTTTGACCTTGAGAAGGTCATTGAAGGTCAAATGTCAAATCTTAAGTCAGATTTGAATTTCTGACAACACGTAGATGATTATGAAAAAAATTTTTAGTCAATTTGAAGCAAGTTGAAAACAGACCTTTTTGACCTTTTTTTGACCTTGAGAAGGTCATTGAAGGTCAAATGTCAAATCTAAAGTCAGATTTGAAGGTCAAATGTCAAATCTAAAGTCAGATTTGAATTTCTGAGAACATGTAGATGATTTTGAAAAAAAAATTAAGTAAATTTGAAGCAAGTTGAAAAAAGACCTTTTTGACCTTGAGAAGGTCATTGAAGGTCAAATGTCAAATCTAAAGTCAGAGTTGAACTTCTGAGAACATGTAGATGATTTAGAAAAAAATTGAAGTCAATCTAAACAGTATTTGTTAAGTTATAGGAAGTTGTAAGAAATTGTTACAGACGCCGGACGCCAACCGCCGGACGCCAACCGCCGTCGCAAAAAAACGGAGACCATAACAATATGTCACCACTTTTGGTGGTGACATAATAATGCCTTATCTTTAAGATTAAGCACATTCCACACTTTCCATTTAAATACTGAGTGGACTATAATTCTACAGCTCCTTTTCACTTTATTTTCCTTTTAAAACATGGTCAACTCATAAGACAGATTACGCTTTATACCTACCGGGAATGCATTGCTGAGTAGAATGTTGCTGCCTTTTAGAGTTAAACTGCCCTTAGCAGCTCTCAGTTTCAGAGGAATTTGGAGATTCTGAAATAAGAAAATTGCAGTATTGAGCTCCCACCAAGGCATAAGCCTAAAAATCTAAATCAAATCCATCAATCTGTATTTGAGTCCAAAATTTATGTTTGTACCATACAATCTTATATATTATATATATTCCTCAATAATTCATAGAATCTCAGTCTTTATTCCTTAAATAGTAAATATATTTTCTTAACCACTTACCTCATATTGAGTTGATATAGAGATATTGTTAATGAAATAGCCCTCTTCTTTGGGGGCACTGACCACTGCCTTAAACACTGCAAAATGGCCTGGAGGTATGACAAGTGGATTGGTTTCAAGGCCACTAATGTTATGCTGTTTTGTCAATTGTCTACCCTCTCCCTTCTCTAATCCTAGTAATGTCACTTTGACGCGTGGTAAGTTTGTGATTATCATTGGCACTACGATCTGAAAAATGTTTTTATGATTATCTGTATTCAGAGTATTGAGAATGTGAAGAGTATTGAGAATGTGAAGATTTCATATGCTCCATATTTCATTTATAATTGTACAGAATAGTCCAGGGCTCGTGCTAGCTGGTTTTCTTGCAGATTTTTCAAAGGAGACGCAAAAAATTAAACTGCGTTTCCTGGGACGCAAATTTTTTAGTTCAAATAACTAGATTGAAAAAACAAACAAAATTGAATTGTCCCGTATTCCTGCTTCAAATGCTTTTAAAATAGATAAAGAGAGTATTGTATACCTAACTAAATGATTCCTGTTTCTTCTCGCAATCATAATTGATCTTATAGCTAAATATGTGCAAAAACTGCTCTAAATTAGAGCAATTTCTGCACTGCATGCATGCCCCAGGCTTCCATACAAGAACATCTAACTCCATTGTAATTAACACGCTGTTAAGTTTTGTTACAGGTAAAAGATATTTGCTACTCATATAATTACACTTATGTGGTTATATATCGTGGACTCAGATATGCGCAGTAAAACATGTCTTTAGTAAACTACTCTCTCTTTTGACTACCTGTATCCAGTGAACACAAGTGTCTAGTGAACAACCAATTCTTAGCTCATAATCCACTGACTGCAATGCAGTAAAACTGTGTCTCGTGAGCACCTTTCTCATGTGGACACCTGTGCCTAGTGAACATGTATATCCAGTGAACACCTGGGCCTAGTGAACACCAATTCTCAGCACATAATCCACTGACTGCAATGCAGTAAAACTGTGTCTAGTGAGCACCTTTCTCATGTGAACACCTGTGCCTAGTGAACATGTGTATCCAGTGAACACCTGGGCCTAGTGAACACCAATTCTCAGCTCATAATCCACTGACTGCAATGCAGTAAAACTGTGTCTAGTGAGCACCTTTCTCATGTGAACACCTGTGCCTAGTGAACATGTGTATCCAGTGAACACCTGGGCCTAGTGAACACCAATTCTCAGCAATTGATCCACTGACTGCAATGCAGTAAAACTGTGTCTAGTGAGCACCTTTCTCATGTGAACACCTGTGCCTAGTGAACATGTGTATCCAGTGAACACCTGGGCCTAGTGAACACCAATTCTCAGCTCATAATCCACTGACTGCAGTGCAGTAAAACTGTGTCTAGTGAGCACCTTTCTCATGTGAACACCTGTGCCTAGTGAACATGTGTATCAAGTGAACACATGTGTATCAAGTGAACACATGTGTTTAGTGAACACCAATTCTCAGCTCATAATCCACTGACTGCAGTGCAGTAAAACTGTGTCTAGTGAGCACCCTTCTCATGTGAACACCTGTGCCTAGTGAACATGTGTATCCAGTGAACACCTGGGCCTAGTGAACACCAATTCTCAGCACTTAATCCACTGACTGCAGTGCAGTAAAACTGTGTCTAGTGAGCACCTTCATCATATGAACAACTGTGCCTAGTGAACATGTGTATCAAGTGAACACATGTGTATCAAGTGAACACATGTGTTAAGTGAACACCAATTCTCAGCTCACAATCCACTGACTGCAGTGCAGTAAAACTGGATCTAGTGAGCACGTTTCTCATGTGAACACCTGTGCATAGTGAACACATGTGTCTGGTGAACACCTTTGTCTATTGAAGAACTCTAATTCTTGGGACATAAACTACCTGTGTCTTATGTATAAAATGTATTTCTGCGGTGAACACCTGAACACTGTGGCTCTATAGATGTTCAATGTGCAGGTTTTACTGAATTAACAGACTAATTTCAGACTAATGTTTCAGCGACTCACAATTTAAGAATGATTTGCATCAAACATCTGGACTCTAAAAAACCATCTGGACTCCAATTTTAGAAAAAGGTTTGCATCCCAGGGATTCCCAAAAATTTGGTCTGGCGCTAACACTGATAGCATTATATCATAAGTGTATTGCTGTATTAGTACCTACCTCAAGGGGGTTAACATTATTCAATGAAAATGTCATACTCCTCTGCTCCCCTACACCCATTGTGCCAAAGTCTAGCTGCCCTGCTTGAGGATCTGGTTGGTCATATAATACCTAAAATACACAATGAAAAATCAACAGCACATTTGATTTGATATTTGATGAATATGAATTTTGTGATAGTCAAAATAATAATTCATAGCTGGAGAAGCAAGTTGACTTGACGTGCACTGACAATTAATGCATTTAAAATATTTTGACCATTTTTTTGTTATCAAAACACCAGAAATCAAGTGGTGGTACATTTGAGAATAACCACCTTTAAAAAGAAAATAATAAATTTTAAAACATCAATTTAAGAAGGCATTAAAATGTCATTTGTTACAAATGATGACACCCAACCAGCGAACACCAACAACCAAACATCGAACCCTTGTGGTGGTAACATAAAAAAAATAGGACCCACGGTCCTGTGCTCACACAGTTTGGAACCTTCAGAGGAATGTATATCCTGACTTTCAAACAAAAATATTGTTTTGGATTTGTAGTCTCGAACTTTGAGAAACTAAGATAGCACAGTTGTGTGACCTAGTTTGATGACCTTTGACCTTGAAAATTTTACTTATTCAAGGCTTAGTAAGGTCTTTTGTGATTAAGCTGACCAAAATTTACATCCAAAAATCAATTTGAAAAATCAACTTTTTTGACCTTTCGAAGGTCACTGAAGGTCAAGTAAAAGTCAAATCCTAAAACTAATGTCAGATTTGAACTCCTGGCAACTTGTAGATGATTTTCAAAAATAAATTCGTCAAATTGAAGCAAGTTGAAAAATAACTTATTTTTACCGTTTTTGACGTCAAATATCTCAAAAACGGTAAAAATTTGATGCTGACATGTATTGAGCAATATGTAGGGAATGCTTAAATCTAGTAATGATGTAATTCGTTGCAAGAAATGATCAAGTATAAGGCAAACTTTGAGAAACTTGTCAATCACAAAACCTGCCATTGACTTTATACATGAGAAAGTTTCCTGAAAATGAAGTCCTACTTTTTGTCAAATTTTATGGAGTAAACACCAAAAACGGTAATTCTAAGAGCTTTGAAATCTTCAGAGGACATAAGTTGCATATACAGCAACTACTACAAGTTATTTGAAAGTTCTACTTCAACAAAGTGTCTAGTATTTACAGAAAATTTGACTTTTTGACGTCATAATCAGCAATTTCTGAGAAACTGGGCGAACTTGGGAAATGGCGATGATAGGTCAAATAGGCATTATGGATATGCATAAAATGAATGTGGATAGGACTCAATCCGAATTGCAGTTTTAATTTGTGCGACCAATGTTGACGGACGGACGGACGGACGGACCAACGGACGGACAATTGGACCAACGGACGGACGCCTGGTCGATCCCATAGGCTCACTGTGTGAGCCAAATGACATTGTTTCACCTAGATTGTTTCAATAGATGTAAACTATTACATACCTTCAACCTTCCATTGTAGATGATGATTGGTATATGAAAGACTGAGGCATTGGAGTGTATGTGTAATTTGGTGTTGAAGTGGAGATCAGAGGAGTTGGGATGAAACATCAGCTTACATATTGTCTGTGCTTTATCTATCTCAAGATGGAGTGGCAGAGAGTAGTCAACTATCTGAAATTGAAAGTGAAACAACCATTGCTAAATTGTGAAGTCATTTAAGTTTAAGTAAAGTGATGTGAGTAAAGTACTAGAACCATGACCCATTCTTTAGGTGTGCTCTGGAAATGCAACATTCCTTTCATGGAAGCCAGTTACATATTCCAAACCATTTGATAATTATGATTTGTATGAATTCTGGATCCTTTTTTGGTAATTGGATTTTAAGTTAGGATGGCAGCCTTCTGTACCCCAAGAAAACCTTGAGGGTATTTTAATACTTAGTAACTCGATAAAACTAGAGATTTAAGATTGCAAGCAACCTTACTGAGGCCGCGTAGGCGTTTTGGCCTTATATTATGTGGTCAGTCAATGCTCAAATCATATATCAAAGGTCAGATCTGAACTTCTAGCAACTTGTAGCTGACTTTCAAAAAAGGTTGATTTAAATTGAACTAATTTGGAAGTTGACCTTGAAAATGGTAAAATTTAAGTTAAATATTACTAAGTTGGTTTCTGAGTAAGTTAGTTACTAAGATAGTTACTATGTTAGTTACAGAACTAACTATTAAGTAACTAAGTAAGTTACTAAGTTAGCAACTAAGTATTTTACTAAGTAAGTTAGTTATGAAGTTATATACTAGGTTCTTCCAATTACTGAAGGTCAACCAAAGGTGAAAGGTTAAAACTAAGGTCAGATTTGAATTCCTGAGAACGTGAAGATGATTTTTAAGTAACTCAACTTTTAGAGAAACATTGAAAACACAGTTTGTTATTTAGTTTGATCACGTTTGACCTTGCAAATTTTACTTTTTAGATCTCAGTAGGTCTTTTGTGATTAAATATACCTAAATTTAAATCCAGATAATCAATTCGAAAAATCAACATTTTTACCTTTCGAGGGTCACTGAAGGTCAACCAAAGGTCAAATCTAAGGTCAGAATTGAACTGATGAGAACCTGTAGATGGGTTTTAAAAGGTTTGGTCAATTTAGAGCAGGTTGAAAGGAGGAGGGAAATTAGTGCAACAGATTTTGGACAGTCATATGTTTGATTTTGGCCATTTCCTCGGGATTTAAACAGGTGCATATGTTAGGCGAATGCATTACCTCCAGGAAAATCACTTCTAGAGATGATAAAATAATTTTGACTTTGAGTCAGGGTAGATGCAAACAACCCATCCACATGTTTTTTCTGAAATGTTTTCCTGATTTTCAACCCCTTCCATTCCTGCTTTTTTAATTTTTCTTGCATCAATATGTTGCGTTTTGACACACAGCTAATCCCTTTAAAGGAATAAATGATTCCTTTTAGATAAAGTGGAAAACAATATTTCCCATGTTATTTTCCCATAGAGAAAAATCATCAAAAAGTTTGGTCACCTATAATGGGTATCTTTAAAACCCCTGAAGGAATCACTTATTTCCCTCCTCCTTTGTGTTGAAAAGTTACAAAATTTGACCTTTTTCACTTTTGAGTTCTAATATCTCAAAACTGGTGCAAAATTTAACCAGAACAACGGCAACGCCAAAGCGTAGCGAATCCCATCGAACAGAAATGGCTGGCATTTTTACAAACGAATAGCAAATATCATAAAACAACACACCAGAAAGGCCACCATTTTCAAAATGGTTGCTCACTAGCCAAGTTGTCATCAGGAGAAATAATATGCTTTTAAGTAGCCACCTCTAAAATTTTTGAAAAATCGCACACGTACTTGTAAAATAACACACATAAAAATGGTGGCCATTTTTCAAAATGGCCGACTACTCCCCAAAGTTTTATTAGACAATGTGCCATGCTTAAAGTATTCACATATCAAATATGAACAAAATCGCTCCACTACTTTTCGAGTCATAGTAAAATACGTTAAAATGGCAGCCATTTTTCAAAATGGCCACCTTCTACCAAAAGTGTCATTAGAAATAGACAGTGTGCCATGCTTATAATATTCACATACCAAATATGAACAAAATCGCTTCACTACTTTTCGAGTTATAGTAAAATATGTTAAAATGGGGGCCATTCTTCAAATTTTTTTTCAAAATGGCCGCCTTCTACCAAAAATGTCATAGGACAGTGTGCCATGATTATAGTATTCACATTCCAAATATGAACAAAATTGCTCCACTTCTTTTCGAGTTATAGTAAAATACGTTAAAATGGCGGCCATTTTTCAAAATGGCCGCCTTCTACCAAAAATGTCTTTAGACAGTGTGCAATGCTTATAGTATTCACATACCAAATATGAACAAAATCGCTCCACTATTTTTTGATTTACAGCAAAAATCGTAAAATGACAAGTAAAGGCCGCCATTTTTTAAGATGGCTGCCATGTGCTTCTTTAATATCTACATTTGTAGAATTATTAATGTCCTTTATAATTTTTTTACATTCAAAACATATTGCTATTACAGTTTTACATATTGCACCTAAATTACTGTCGGCACTAAAATGGCCACCATTTTGAAATGAGCGGTCATTTTGACAATCGGCTTTCGAGCAGAACCTCTACTCCCATAGGGTATATGTGTACAAAATATGAACAAAATCAGGCCAACGGTATTTGAGTTATTGCCCGGACGGACGGACGGACCTTCGACCTTGCAAATTTTACTTTTTTATACCTCAGTAGGTCTTTTGTGATTAAACATACCTAAAGAATCAAGAAAATCAATTTTGAAAAATCAACTTTTTGAACTTTTGAAGGTTAACCAAAGGTCAAAGTTCCAAAGTAAGGTCAGATTTGAGTTCCTGAGCACTTGTAGATGATCTTTAAAAAAATGTTTCGTCAATTTAGAGCAGGTTGAAATTTTGGTCTAGAAAATTTTAGAAATTGGACCTTTTTCTGTTTTTGAGTTCAAATATCTCAAAACTGGTGCAAAGTTTTAATAAATAGTCAATTGCAAATATGTGTAGAACCTTTAGAGGAATATATATCCTAACTTCGATTCAAAAATATTGATTTGTAGTGATCAATTTTTAGAAACTTAGAAAACACAATTTGTGATTTAGATTACCTTGATCTTTGACCTTGCCAATCTAACTTTTTAAGACCTTTGTAGGTCTTTTGTGATTTACTTTACCCAAATTTGAATCAAGAAAGTCAATTTGAAAAATCAACTTTTTGACCTTTCGAAGGTCACTGGAGGTAAACCAAAGGTCAAAAGTAAGGTCAAATTTGAGTTTCTGAGAACTTGTAGATGATTTTCAAAAAATAATTTGGTCAATTCGGAACAAGTTGATACAAAACCTTTTTGACCTTTTGTTGACCTTCAATATCCCAAAATATAGTCAAAATTTGTGTAGATGGCAAAAGGCTAACACTAATAGAACACTAATATCTATCTGTATGGAAAAAATTCAGGCAAAAAATAATAAAGTGTAGTGTCAGGATTCGAGAAACTTAAAAAAATTTGATTTGACCTAGATTTTGACCTTTGACCAAGATAAAAGTTTCTTTCCCGCCAAGTTCAGCCAAGGTTCCTGGAAGGTGTGTGTAGTAGGGTGTTCCAGAATATGGCTTTTTTTTGCTAGCAAGATGCAGTTCAGCCCAGATGGGCTCTTGATAGTAAAGTTTAAGCTGAAAAAATTTCGGTTCCTAAAATCGACGTTTGACCCCCCACCCCCCCCCCTACCGACGTTTTTGCGAAAACTGGTAAAAAACGGCAAAAAACGTCATTTTCTAGCCTTACAAGGTAAAATATGAAGGATGGATGTCAGAAACCTTGTCAAAATCATTAGGTTATGGTCATTATGTATTATCATACAGTTGAAAACATAGTATACCTTGTTCATTAATTATTTAACCCTTTTCCTACTAATATTTGAGCGAAAATCGCAAATATATCACATTTTGAAACAAACTATTTGCTCTTTTACTGTTATTCATATGGTAGCTTATCTCTAACTACTAAACACCATCAAACTGGTAATACTGATGGTAATAACAAATAGATAAATGGTACTGCAAGGGTTAAGCACTGTAAACCATATTTTAGAGTCCTGGTTATAAGGTGATCATGCATTCATTTAGATAATGGTTTACACTGAATTAGTTCCACCCATGTACTCATAAATGATCTAACATGTTATAATAACAATGTCTAATGTCTACAGATTATTCTGCATTTCATTTTTTAGGAATGCAGGGATCTTGGCCCTATGAGAGGAGGAAACCAGAATCATTCTAGCCCTCACAGTGCCATCACGGGCAGCATTGGCGTAGTCTTGTATGTCTTTTACGCTCCTCTCTGCAGCGTCATTAACCACATACAGATTATGCACAATAGCTGCTAATGTAATATATCCTTGATGTGTAGCCCACTGGTTGATGGGTAGATTGAGCCAAGTTGTATCCCCATTTGTAAGATCAAATAACAACCAAGATCTTGGTCAACCAGTGGGCTACACATCAAGGATATATTACATTAGCAGCTATTGTGCATAATCTGTATGAGTGGGAAGCCAGATTTCCACACTGATATACTCATTCAGCCCAACCAAGAACTTATTGACTTTTTAGGGCCAAGATCTTGGTTGTTATTTGATCTTACAAATGGGGATACAACTTGGCTCGATCTACCCATCAACCAGTGGGCTACACATCAAGGATATATTACATTAGCAGCTATTGTGCATAATCTGTATGTGGTTAATGACGCTGCAGAGAGGAGCGTAAAAGACATACAAGACTACGCCAATGCTGCCCGTGATGGCACTGTGAGGGCTAGAATGATTCTGGTTTCCCCCTCTCATAGGGCCAAGATCCCTGCATTCCTAAAAAATAAAATGCAGAATAATCTGTAGACATTAGACATTGTTATTATAACATGTTAGATCATTTATGAGTACATGGGTGGAACTAATTCAGTGTAAACCATTGTCTAAATGAATGCATGATCACCTTATAACCAGGACTCTAAAATATGGTTTACAGTGCTTAACCCTTGCAGTACCATTTATCTAATTGTTATCTAATTGTTATTACCATCAGTATTACCAGTTTGATGGTGTTTAGTAGTTAGAGATAAGCTACCATATGAATAACAGTAAAAAAGCAAATAGTTTGTTTCAAAATGTGATATATTTGCGATTTTCGCTCAAATATTAGGAGGAAAAGGGTTAAATAATTAATGAACAAGGTATACTATGTTTTCAACTGTATGATAATACATAATGACCATAACCTAATGATTTTGACAAGGTTTCTGACATCCATCCTTCATATTTTACCTTGTAAGGCTAGAAAATGACATTTTTTGCCGTTTTTTACCAGTTTTCGCAAAAACATCGGTAGGGGGGGGGGGGTCAAACGTCGATTTTAGGAACCGAAATTTTTTCAGCTTAAACTTTACTATCAAGAGCCCATCTGGGCTGAACTGCATCTTGCTAGCAAAAAAAGCCATATTCTGGAACACCCTAGTGTGTAGGAGATAGTTAAAAGGTAGTTGGGTTAGGAGAAAGGTGTTAGGAAGAATAAATAAAGAATACATGTATATAAATAAAGGATAATATCTAAAAAATTAATAGGAGGCCCCTCGTTGCGGCCTCCTAATAATACTAATGCCTATACAGGACTGAAATACAGCAACTTCACAGAGTAGCAAATCGAACAAACATTTTGATAATTAGTGGCCATCTTGAGAAGTTTTTCTTGAACAGAGCATATATAATTTTAACATACATCTCTATGCTTACTTGCAAATAATAAGACACATTGGAGGTATTGCAGAATTTCCAACAATTTTAGTATTTTGGTGGCGATTTTGGAGTTTCATAGGCACAAATCATAAAGACAATACAATATTTGTGATCTTATGTAGGATAAGGTAACTAACTAGAAAAAAAACACGAGGTAGCAAATCCAACCAAACAAAACACATTTTGATGAATAGCGGTCATCTTGAAATTTTCTTCTAGAACTGAGCTCTGTTGTCCCAAGGAATCAGCATATGAAATTTGAAACAAATCCATCGACTGGTATTTGAATTACCAAAGATTACATTTTTAACAACAAATGGCAGTCTTTTTGATAAATTGTGATCATCTTGAAAATTTCTTCTCAAGCAGAGTTCCTTTGTCCTAGGCCATCAGCATAAAAAATTTTAACCAAATGCCTCAACTGGTATTTGAGTTATCAAAGATTATGTTTTTTGACGAAAAATGGCAGGCATTTTCAAGTTCACTTGCCATCTTGAAAATTCCTTCTTGAGCAGAGCTTGTTTGTCTCTAGGCATCTGCATATAAATTGTAACCATATCAGAAAAATATTATTTGAGTTCTCAAACATTACTTTTTTATGAAAAATTTTTGAATTTTGAAATTCAGTAGCCATCTTGAAAATTTCTTTAACAGAGCTCCATTGTCCCTTGGCATCAACATATAAAATCTGAACCAAATCCATTGATTGGAATTTGAGTTATCAACGATTACATTATTTTATCAAAAATGGCGGCCATTCTGAAATTCAGGTGCCATCTTGGGAATCTCTTCTTGATCAGAGCTAGTTTGGTCGCCAGGCATCAGCATATTAAATTTGAACTGATTTCATCCAATAGTAGATGATGAGTTGTCAAAGATTATGTTTTTCACGAAAAATGGTGGCCATTTTGAAATTCTGTGGCCATCTTGAAAATATCTTCTTGAGCAATGCCTCTATATCCTCCTCGAAATTGGTTTCGTGGGAGATCTCTAAATTATAGTGAATTACCACATTAGACAGCCATTTCGAATTAATCAAGATGTGAATCTGAAAAAATGATACCATAATTGTAAAAACCCTAAATTTTCACATAACAAGGCACCGACGTGAACAATATCGTACCTAAAACACAGCATTGTGGTCTTGTTGACCAAGAAAGCAAGATGGCCGCAGAAAAGTTAATCAGCTCTAGAACTTATCACTGTGTAACATATGTAAAAATTTGAATGGTTTGGCTGGAAACCTGTAGACAAGCCTCGATAGACAAGATTTTAGGACGGAAAATCTAAAATGGCAGCCTTAACATTTACCCAGAATGCCCAAAAACCAATCAGTTCTTGACGTTGATATGTAGAAACATCCCTGAAAATTTCAGATGAATCCCTCAAATGGTTTGGCTGAAAATCTGTAGACAAGTCTTGAAAGTGAAGATTTTAGGACAGAAAATCCAAAATGGCCACCTTAAAATTTACCCAGAATGCCCAAAAACTAATCAGTTCTTGATGTTGATATGTAGAAACATCCCTGAAAATTTCAGATGAATCCCTCAAAAGGTTTGGCTGGAAACCTGTAGACAAGTCTTGAAGTAAAGATTTTAGGACGGAAAATCCAAAATGGCCACCTTAAAATTTACCCAGAATGCCCAAAAACTAATCAGTTCTTGACGTTGATAAGTAGAAACATCCCTGAAAATTTCAGATGAATCCCTCAAATGGTTTGGCTGAAAACCTGTAGACAAGTCTTGAAAGTGAAGATTTTAGGACGGAAAATCCAAAATGGCCACCTTAAAATTTACCCAGAATGCCCAAAAACTAATCAGTTCTTGACTTTGATATGTAGAAACATCCCTGAAAATTTCAGATGAATCCCTCAAATGGTTTGCCTTGAAACCTGTAGACAAGCTGAAAAGTGAGACGGCGCCCGCCCGCCCTCCCGCCCGTCAAGCTGACTACAATATCGTACCTTTTGTTAGGTACGATAAAAAGGCATACATTGATGAATTCTCATTGATAAAAATTGAGTGGCCATTATAAAATATCAAGGGCACTTATCAGAGGATAAACAAATATAGTGTCTTCTTTAGGTAGCCATTTTTGAAGCAAGAATGAGAAAATTCATACAGTAACTTGTATCTGCTCTAAAACCTTTGATTTGACTATAATATTATAGTCTTTACTAAAATTCCTGCCATTTTTAAAGTACGGATAATAGTCATAAGATCAGTAAATTAACAATTAATTCCTGTATTTTACCCCCTACCCTGCCCTTGAGGGTCGTGCTGAATTATTAATATTCATTACTTTGATTGGGAATGAAAAACTCACCATTTTCAAAGTGGTGAAATAATTCAGATAGATTGAAAGATAGAGGACTTCACTCTATTCGTATAAAATTCATTTTATTGAGATGCAATAACAAAGATACTCAATATGTGGTTAGTCAAGGTTTTAAGCCTTGGACTGGAAGTGCAATGTGGACTGAATCATTCCTCGAAAAGATGTTATTTCAACCATTGCACAAGATGTGAAGTTTAGGAAATAATACCTGAGTGGAATGCAACAAAGTCTTTGGCTTAAATTATTTTCACAAATTGTAAAATATTTTCTATAAAATCACCTAAAAGATATGAAATCAATAAAGAACATATTTTAAATGAAACTTAGCACCAATTTAATCTGTAGAGTCAAGTTGTCACCTTGACAGCTATTACACGAATAACCTTGGGTGAATTGTTGGTTATATAATGCAGTGCAGTTATATGAAATTCTGAGTTAGGATTGGCTGGAATTGGACACACCTTGCCTAGCTATGTGTGAATATCAGATTACTTACAGATAAATGAGGAGCTGCTGTCTCTGGCAAAGATATATTATAGACAGCTATGGTAAAGTTGAAATGGTTTGTTACTGTAATGTCTCGAATCACTTCGTCCTCATATGTCTCTTTATCTATGTGGAACTTGGTTTTATTTTCTTCATACTCCAATGACCTATGAATCATATCATACTATTATCATACTTGGCACATTACCTGGATATACAATGGTTGAAACCTATGATCATAAGGTGGCTTATTATGATTTTTTACAAGTGATAATTCTTGTACATTTGTTTGGTCAAATTATGAGAGTATGAAACATTTCCGTAACAATTCTTGGTAGGAATGTGCATGAAAATCTCAGTCCAATAAGCCAATATGCGATAAACTTTTAGTTTAGTTCAGTTTAGTTACCTCACGCTTGAAGAGCTCTCATGAGAGGTACAACTTCGTCTACATCTGGGTTATTTCCCATTGGATTACACAGGAATGCGATTTTCAATACCGCACTACAGCTTTATTAAACATTCATGTAGTGTTGCATTTCGGGGGGCCAATGAAAATTTGTCCTTTCCAAAGCGATGCACCATGGGAGATATTTATGTAAATTACCATCTGAACTCTTATCGCGAATATGCCTATAAGAGTAAAATAATTAGAGTAATCAATTAATTTTCAATATTGATTTTAGCAGAATACATTTTTGAGCATAAGTTGAAATTGGTTGCCTTATTTATTTCTGCTTTGCATTTTACAGACATTTTTCTATTTGTCTTTGGTAACTACTTAGTTTGATGTCGATATATCTAATGACTACAACTTTGCCTTTCAATTAGGAGTTAAACAGCTATTACACAAGGCATTAACATGACAAAATGTCACCACCTAGTTGCTCACAATATTATGAGTTCAAACTTAGGTCAGACTTGAATTTCTGAAAACTCTGAAGATGATTTTGAAAAAATGGTCAATTTGAATCAAGTTTTTTTTACCTTGAAAAGGCCATCAAAGGTCAAATCTTAGACCTTAAGAAGGTAATTGAAGGTTAAATCTTTTTTGCCCTTGAAAGGTCATTGAAGGTCAAATCTATATAAAGATTTGAACTTTTGAGAACTTGTAAATGATTTTGAAAAAAAAATTGGTCAATTTGATGCGAGTTGAATAAAGAACTTTATTAAACTTTTTTGACCTTGAAAAGGCCATCGAAGGTCAAATCTTAATTCTAGAATCAGAATTGAACTTCTGAAAACTTGTACCCGATGATTTTGAAAAAAATTAAATTCAGTCTAAACAGTATTTGTCAATTTATTGGAAGTTGCAAGAAATTGTTACAGACGCCGATCACCAACCGCCATCACAAAAAATGGAGACCATAACAATATGTCACCACTTTTTGGTGGTGACATAAAAATGCAAAAAATATCTGCACAGATGATACAGTACAGTTGGGCTTAGTCTACTTTTGTATTCCTGTGTGAGCTTTTACTTGGATACATCATGGGATAATAAAGAAGACTCAGAGCCTAACTGTACAGAAAACCCAGAGTTCAAATGTAAGAGAACATAATTGTCAGACATTTTGCATTTTGTAATAGCTTTGGACTCCTCATTGAAAGGCATAGTTGTATTCATAAGATGTGTCTTTATTAAACTAAATTACTCAAGCCAAATAGAAAAAATGTCTGTAGAATGCAAAGCAACCAAGGCAACCAATTTCATTTTTTTGCTTAAAAATCAATATTGAAAATTAATCAATTACTCCAATCAGTTTTACTACAAACTTTTTATCTTGGTATTATCACTCGTAAAAATCATAACAAGCCATCTTAAGCTGGCCTTACTAAGTAAATCTGATTTATTATATTGTACCAATTTAAAAACATTTATAAAATATTAGTGTCAAAGTAGAACACAAAATGTCACCACTTGGAAGAGTACATTAACAGCAATTACATGATGACACAAAAACTTAAATATATTTCAATAATGAACATGACTAAGGTAAATACCCCCGTAAAACTACTGCTCTATAAGGTATTGTTAGTTTATATTCCCCATTATCAGCTTTGATGATGATGTTGCCTGTCCACTGGCGTTTACTTTTAACCTTTGAAGCTGTAAATAAAAGGAGAAAAATTCAAATGAAGACTTTCCTGCACATTTGACAGGAATATGAGTGTCCAATTGTTAATGTCATGCAAATATTACACATTATTACCACCTTGCCGGGCCAGTTCTAGGGGTTTTAGTGCTAGTTTAGAAGGCATTCATTTTACTATATCGACCTGAGCAATATGTGACCTCGTAGTGGTGGTCCATATTGCACTTTTCCCTGGGAAATAAGATATTGTTAAGTGCGTAAGATTTTCTTTCGGGTTCAGTCCTGGTCATTAACGGTGGAAATTATTAGAGGTTATGTCACTATGACGTGAAATATGCCTGAGTTCTCCAAATATAGGCCGACCTTGGAAGGCTCTATATTTGGGCAAGAACGAAGGCATATTTAACGTCATAGTGACATAACTGATGTATTACATGCCTTTGTTCCCATGGTTACTTTGTATCAATGACGTGACGTCATGATATTATCATGGTTATTAAAGAAATCTAATATCAAAACGAGGTAAGCGGGCTATATCGGGGTAATTGGGCAATATCGGTGGATATAGCTCGCTAACTTTCCCATTGACTTCCATACAAATGCTTCGCTAGGTATGTAATACTACTAATAACGTCATTTCTGCGGGCAATATAGTGAAATATTGGACCAATATTTTACTTTATTATATCATTGCTAGAATTTTTGTCCTTTGATTGGCTGATTCAGTACCATGTGATCAAAAATACCAAAGCGTATTTCACAGCTCCCTTAATTTTTGAATTATAAAAGACGTATTGCCCGGCGTATTGCCCGCCCGGGAATTCTGAATCATCCCGTTTCGTCCAGTACAGTTGTGACGTGCATTAAAATGGCAGACGGAAAAAGATTTAAAAGTCTGAATTCCGATGAAAAGAACGACATCTTGAGGGATGTGCATTCTAAAAACAACATTTAATCAACGGAAAAGTCTTGGAACATTTTCAAGTGTTATATGGACGAAAAAGATATCGAAATAGACGTTAAATCTATCGATAAAGTCGTTCTGGATGGAATTTTAGAGCCGATTTTTTCTTAACTGCGAATGAAGGATGGGGATTGGGGAATATTACAAGAGTGCCAGTCTGCAAAGTATTCGCCATGGACTCAATAGGCACATACAAAGTCTACGCAATGATATAAATATCATCAACGACTCTGAATTCACCAGATCAAAGACAGCTTATGTTGCTATATATGAGAAAGCATTTGAAATCATTGGGAAAAGGAGACACAGGTTAAAACAAATATTATTTCTTTCTTTGGAATGCATTTATTGATTGTAGCGAATGTCTAGCAATGATATAATAAAACAAATATTTCATTCTATGTTCGGGCAATACCTGTTCATCTTTCAATGATTTTTGCAGCATGTATTATCCTCGCCCTTCGGGCTACGGGCAATACATGCTGCAAAAATCATTGAAAGATGAACAGGTATTGCCCTCCATAGAATGAAATATTTGCTTAATATTGCCCTTTGAAATGACGTTATTGTTCTATTCATATAAAATTTAAAGACACTTCTCTTGATCTAAATTTGACAGCTGCACAAATCATTCAAATCAAGATTGAAACACTTAGATATTCAGCTACATCAGTATTCTCCCTAACTTTTCAAAAGTAAATGGTGGAAAAGTTTGAATGAAAATTGATGGATAGTGGCATCATTATTCAAGAGTGGTGAGAACAAAGCAGGCTGAAAAAATTGATGCTGCTTTGCGATGTCACGTTCATAACAATCATTTTGATCCATAGTTATATATTAACATAAAATCACATTTTAGTACATGTACACTAGACTTACTTCATAATTGTCTTCACATGTATTATAAGTAGCTTAGTCTAATTTACCTTCTTCTGCCTCAGAGATGGATCAACATCATGTTTAATTTAATTCAATGTTTAATTTAATCTTTATTTTGTATCTTTATTTTGTATATATACAAATTGTTAGTATGTAAACACATATTTCTTCAATTCAACTAATTTATTATTGAAGAAATTCCCATAAAATGTTCAATCATGTTCACCCTGAGATAAAAACAAAAACAACTTGGATTTCTCTGCAAATTAATCTGCTTTTAATCAGAATACAAAGTATATTGAAGACCATGTAGTGCAGAAAAGATAATTGCAGACAATTCTATATTTACATAGCGGGCTGACATTTCAGAATAATAAAAACTTTCACATTTTAATTTTTTTCAATCAAAATTTTTTGTAAAATAAGTCTAATGGGTGGCCCTGTTGACTGATGCGCAGTGCAAGATATATCAGCATAGCCCAGCCAAAATTCATGTGGTGTGAGTGTCACGCATTTTCCAGTCAGGGAGACCAAAGTACATGTATACTTCAACCATTATTATTTTCAAGTACATGTGCACTCATGCTTGCCCATATGTTCAAATGTTACTCCTACCTTTGAATGTAATCTCAGCTATTGGGAACCACTTGTATTTGCCTGTTATAATGGTATGCTGCTCAAACCATATAGAAATAGCACTATTTGGAGGTTGAACTGACACACTCTGAAAGGAATTAAGAAATTCATATATCACTGTCTTATTTGGATACACTCTGAAATTAAGAAATAAATATATAACTCTCTTATTCCTCACTCTGATTGGTCAATGTCCTACATGTGAGCCTGTACATGTGACAAGGAAATATTGAACAAATGTTTCACTCTACTGAGGTGAATACCTGTGCATCTTTCACAAGTGATATTCCACGAAGCCAAGAGGGCTAGTAGAATATAATCTTGCGAAAGTGTCACAGGTATTCCCTGAAAGTAGAGTGAAATATGTGGTTTATTATATCACTGTCTGTTGATTCCATAGCATTCGACATCATGGATGGGTCTGCAGTGATCCCTGTCATATAATAGTAATAGAAATTCCAATTTCAAGTGAACTTTTTAATTTTACACTATGATTACTGGGAAGGAACACTGTTTAACTTCTTGACTACCCAGAGTGACGAGATTTCTCGTCACCTCAGAAATGACCTTGGAACCCAGAGTGACGAGATAATCTGTCACAAAATATTTCACCAAAATTGCTCTTATTTGAACAATTTTTATCCAATTTACACAAAAAAAATTTTAAAATGTCTAGAAATGATATCTACCGTCTAATTTTACTGAATAGAACATCGTCTGTTGTATATGTATGTAGTAAAATGTCAAAAGTTGGGAAAAATTAACAAGGCATTAACATGACAAAATGTCACCACCTAAAACAATTTGGACAATTTTAAGTAAGTTGGAAAATACCTTTTGACCTTAAGAAGAACTTCTGAGAACATGTAGATGATTTTGAAAAAAAAAATTAGTCAATTTGAAGCAAGTTGAAAAAAGACCTTTTTGACCTTGAGAAGGTCATTGAAGGTCAAAGGTCAAATCTAAAGTCAAATTTGAACTTCTGAGAACTTGTAAAGTCAAATTTGAACTTCTGAAAAGATGTAGATGATTTTGAAAAAAAAAATTGGTCAATTTGAAGCAAGTTGAAAACAGACCTTTTTGACCTTTTTTGACCTTGAGAAGGTCATTAAAGATCAAATGTCAAATCAAAGTCAGATTTGAATTTCTGAGAACATGTAGATGATTTTGAAAAAAAAAATTAGTCAATTTGAAGCAAGTTGAAAAAAGACCTTTTTTGACCTTGAGAAGGTCATTGAAGGTCAAATGTCAAATCTAAAGTCATATTTGAATTTCTGAGAACATGTAGATGATTTTGAAAAAAAAATTTAGTCAATTTGAAGCAAGTTGAAAACAGACCTTTTTTACCTTTTTTGACATTGAGAAGGTCATTGAAGGTCAAATGTCAAATCTTAAGTCAGATTTGAATTTCTGAGAACACGTAGATAATTTTGAAAAAATTTTTTAGTCAATTTGAAGCAAGTTGAAAACAGACCTTTTTGACCTTTTTTGACCTTGAGAAGGTCATTGAAGGTCAAATGTCAAATCTAAAGTCAGATTTGAAGGTCAAATGTCAAATCTAAAGTCAAATCTAAAGTCAGATTTGAATTTCTGAGAACATGTAGATGATTTTGAAAAAAATTTAGTCAATGTGAAGAGAGTTGAAAAAAGACCTTTTTGACCTTGAGAAGGTCATTGAAGGTCAAATGTCAAATCTAAAGTCAGATTTGAACTTCTGAGAACATGTAGATGATTTTGAAAAAAATTGAAGTCAGTCTAAACAGTATTTGTTAAGTTATAGGAAGTTGTAAGAAATTGTTACAGACGCCAACCTCCAACGGCCGGACGCCAACCACCAACCGCCGTCGCAAAAAAACGGAGACCATAACAATATGTCACCACTTTTGGTGGTGACATAAAAATGATCTGGTTTTAACCTATTTTAGAACCTGGGATTCAAGAGGTGAAGGACAAAATTTGAAAATTCACCTATTCACAAGGATCATTGAAAATTGGTTATACTGAACATCCAATTGGTTTTCAGAATGGATTATTCCAATTTATCATATCATTGAAATGTTTCTCGCTTTATCATTGGATAAGTATTTCATTGTTTCCCGCAGTCTCCAGCCGCAGCCTCGTTTTCAACTGTATATACCACGGAGTATATACCACGGTACAAAGTCCCGGATGTTATCTTTTTGTTATGACGTCAAAACAATATTGTAAAAATACTTGGATACGCATGGCAATAAAACTTCACTGTAATGACGTCACAGCTTGTATGACGTCACAGCTTATATTTGTAGTATGAGCATGGGTACTCATAGCAATGGTTGCCATGTTTTTGATGTTAAAAAACCAGTGAAGTAACAAGTCAACTTGCACGTGTGACTTTTGAGGGTGAAATATGGCAATATCTTGCTTCGGACTAAGAGTGGCTGTAGTTAGAGTGGTTATTCTGATGAGCACATGTATTGTATCTATGTATTAAATGATTTAAAGAAATACACCGAATTTGTAGAACATTCAAATGATATAATAAATCAAATATTCCATTCTATTTTCGGTGAATACATGTTCATCTTTCCCTCAGGTATATTTCCCTTGCCCTACGGGCTGTAGGAAATATACTGAGTGAAAGATGAACATGTATTCACCGAAAATAGAATGGAATATTTGGTATATATAATTCTAAAGATCTAAGATTAAATAGTAAGGAAGCCAATTGATGACAAGCTGTGACATCCCTACCACTGTTGATTACCTGATAATTAATCAATCAATTATTTTGACAACAGCAGATTAAAAATCCTTTCCATGGTTACCTGCACAGAACAGATTTTATTAAATCATGTGAAGTCTGACTTGCACAAACTTCTCAGTGGTTGAACATGTCATGCCTTTCCTTGGCAACATTCCAAGATTCCAATGCCAGCAGAATTTTCATTTTTGGCATGAGTGGACCGACAACAGGATGGCACTCCTCCTCACAGGTGAAGGGCTGTGACAGAACTCGTGAGAAATTGCAGTTGCATGGATAGGCACGGCTGCCATGTTCCAAAAGACAAGAGGAAAATTACAGAATGAATCAGAAAAATGTTAATCTTTAACTGTGAATAAAATTTAATGTTGAAGGAATGCTTCCTCTTTGTCTTTGTTCTTTGTTCTTTTCAACCACTGACATGTTTGCACAAGTCAGATTTCACACAAGTCAATGAAATATGCCCCTGCTAGTCAACCATGGAAGGATTTTAAATCTGCTGGTCTCAAATTAATCAAGGGAGCTTGTTCCTTGAGAATTCAATTTATATCTTGTGATAAATACCAAAATTCTAAAATATATTGGCCATTTTGTACTTTTAACAATTTTATTGAGATACTTTGAAGAAATGTATTTGTGAAATATTGAGTCAAGTGGCTTTAATCTTTTCAAGATCCAAACTTCCAGATTGTAAATGCTACAAAATAAAGTTGACAAAACTTGAATATACCGGTAGGCTCTAAGAAACACTGCTCTACTATGACATCAATAAGTCTTCATCTTAGTTAAAGGTTTATTCAGCAAATAACCCAGATGCCAGCAGCTAGCTACCAGTTTCACCACTAGGTGGCTAATTCGGGTCAGATAACATGGCACATATAGTTCCCTTAAACCTGAATTATCCAGTTCTAGTGGACCAATTTTCATATAAAACTTGGTTATACAAATAAAAAACCGCAACTTGACAGAGTAGCAAATCCCATTGAACAAAACATGTTTTGATATAAGGATATAAGAGCTAGTTTGTCCCTAGGCATCAACATATAAAATTTGAAGCATTATGGTATTCGAATTATCAAAGATTCAATTTTTTATGAAATTCAGCCACCATCTTGAAAATAGTTTTGTCAACAGAGCTACTGTGTTCTAGGCATCAGCATATAAAAATTTGAACCAAATCTGTTCACTGGTAAGTGAGTTATCGAAGATTACAGATTCTTTATGAAAAATGGCAGCCATTTTAAAGTCAGTCGCCATCTTTAAAAAAAATTCTTGAACAGAGCTGCTGTGTCCCTAGGCACAAGCATAAAAAATTTGAGCCATATCTGGTACTGGTATTTTATTTATCAAAGATAACATTTTTTACAAAAAATACGAAACTGATTTGAAGAATTCTTAGAAGATTCATAGAATTTGAGTTATCAAAGATAACAATTATTATGAAAAAATGGCGGCCATTTTGAATTGAGTGACCATATTGAAAATTCCTTCTCAAGCAGAGGTTCTACTACTTTCAGGCATAAACCTATAAAATTTGACTCAAATCTGTTTACCGGTATTTAACCCCCTCAAACTTCGGTCAGATAAATAGATAATAAATATACCGTATTCTCTCTTATAAATGCACAGTGCATGTACAAAATTCTCCTGAAAATGACAAAATCCTTGGGGATTTGTGTAAGATAAATATATGGGGGATACAGGGTGTTTCATGATTTTCCTCTTCAACTGGACTTGCTCCAAATAGATAACATAAAATCATACCTCATCATATATCATTTTTTCCTCATGCATTTATCGATCTGCTGAATGTGTTTCCATGGGTTAATTGACATATATTGACATAAATTATATGTTGGATTTTGGCCCTAAAAGGGCATCAGTACAAATAAATCCTATTAAATATATACGCATGAAAATTGATGATAAAACATCCACTCCAATCCTTCTGAGTAGGTGACATTTTGGAAATTGACCGCAATACTGAGTCAAAATCTAAAAGCTTCTTGCATCTGACTGCTTTATATCCATATAATACTATTTAACTTTTATAGAGGATTGAATGTTTGGTAGTAACATGAAAATGAGGTTAAATGTAATTCAAAACATGGCACTAATTTATCAGCAAATTAGTCAATTTGTACTTAAAGTAACTCTCTGACGATTCTAGGCCGAATTTCGACAATTTAAGCGATATGATTTCAAGAAAATAATCTTACCTTTCTATTAGGATGGGTTCAGGTGCCAAAAATAACTGATCCATGGATATATCATTTTGAAATTTGGATGCAAGAAATATTTTTTCGGAGCCTATCTAAATGAAAACTGAATTTACATTATTAATCCTGGTTCTGACTTAAAAATTTACGGAAATAGATATTTAAATATTATTAAAATGATTATTGTCTATTTATTTTATTAATCTCATGCAGGGATTCGACTGTCTTCTAAAATTCATAACATAGCTTTAGAATTACAATGTTATTTCATCTTGCCATTGTGGCCTAATGGAGTAAGGCACTGGACTCGCTATAGATTTTGATAGTTTGAATCCAGCTGTCGGTGGTTCGATTCCCGGTCGAAACTAAGGTTTTTTTTCTTTTTTATTTATCTCTCAGACACAATTTTTTTTTAAAATCTCTTTTTATACAACATATAGTCATATCTATTACTTTTTAAGGGTGACCCAATGAGAGAGTGAGGAATGTTTACAATGCATAATAAAACAAAATCATTCAATTTTTGGTGAATACCTAAGCATCTTTCACAAACAATTTTTGGTCCTTTCACTTTGGCACTTGCGCATACATATTCATGATATCAAGTCAATCTTTAAAATATAACTGATATTAAAATTTTAACAATCTTGTTTTACCATTTTGCCTATATGAATGACCCATTGACAGACCAATGAATTCTGTTCCGGGATATATTTATGTCATGTGTTCTCCAATGGCATATTGGTCTATTAATTTGTGGAATGAGAAGTAAGAGCTTGCACTTACCCATAGGTTCAGTTCTTTAGGAGTTCCATTGATGATATAGACTGATAGGGTTTTTGATTCATCCAAGCTGCGGACAATTCCAAAATCTATCATGTGATAAGGTGAATAGATACCTGGTGCTGCAAGTGAGGAAATAAATACATTGTTTTTCAGAATATCATTGATACTTGAGAAGAATTGAAGTCTTTTTTACTCGAGTCTGAGAAATAAATTGATGCTTTTTTCAAAAATTGATATTTTAGAGAGACCTGATTTTGCAAAGAACTTTAAAGTAAAAAAGAAATAGTACCGTGGGTACTTGGCTCACAGGGTTTCTATTGGTAACCTATAAATGAAGCTACCTGTACAATTTGAAGCTAATTGATGGAATACTTGTGCAGTTATGACCAAAAAAATCGAAAACCTATAAATTTATCTACAATAAAATTTGTGGCCATTTTGAATCTTTACAACATATTTTGCTGAAATGTGCAGACATTGTTGATAATGTAGAAATAACATACCTGTATAATTTCAAGCAAACTGAGGGAACACTTATGACCAGTTATGACCAAAAATGAGCTTTTGAGACACTTCCTATGGAACAATTGATAATCTTATGTAGACACATTTTAAAAGTGAAATCGTCCAATTGTCGTGGAGGATTTCGAATTAGCAACCAATGTCTTGGCAAGACAGACAGACAGACAGACAGACAGACAGACAGACAGACAGACAGACAGACAGACAGACAGACAGACAGACAGACAGACAGACAGACAGACAGACAGACAGACAGACAGACAGACAGACAGACAGACAGACAGACAGACAGACAGACAGACAGACAGACAGACAGACAGACAGACAGACAGACAGACAGACAGACAGACAGACAGACAGACAGACAGACAGACAGACAGACAGACAGACAGACAGACAGACAGACAGACAGACAGACAGACAGACAGACAGACAGACAGACAGACAGACAGACAGACAGACAGACAGACAGACAGACAGACAGACAGACAGACAGACAGACAGACAGACAGACAGACAGACAGACAGACAGACAGACAGACAGACAGACAGACAGACAGACAGACAGACAGACAGACAGACAGACAGACAGACAGACAGACAGACAGACAGACAGACAGACAGACAGACAGACAGACAGACAGACAGACAGACAGACAGACAGACAGACAGACAGACAGACAGACAGACAGACAGACAGACAGACAGACAGACAGACAGACAGACAGACAGACAGACAGACAGACAGACAGACAGACAGACAGACAGACAGACAGACAGACAGACAGACAGACAGACAGACAGACAGACAGACAGACAGACAGACAGACAGACAGACAGACAGACAGACAGACAGACAGACAGACAGACAGACAGACAGACAGACAGACAGACAGACAGACAGACAGACAGACAAGTGGGTGATAACAATAGCTCACCCTTGTGAGCTAAAATGTGCTGCAGGGAGAATATCTGTTGTTTATATTAGTTGATTACCTGATGAGGATTCTAACTCCATGGGAATAACAAGAGTTTCTTCCAAATCTTTCTTGCGGGTGTTTGTTTTTATTCTTATAAAACTGGTATGATTATTTTCTGTACGTCCTACAAATGCTGCTCTCATCACAGGACGAGTTTCATATGGTGGAATTTCCTAAAAATCATAAATCACTAGAGATCAAGATTGCAAGCAAGTAGTTATTGACTAAGTTACTAAGTTAGTAACTAGGTATATTACTAAGTAAGTTATGAAGTTGGTTACCTGGTTTCTTCCAAGGTCAACCAAAGGTCAAAACTAAAGTCAGATTTGAATTCCCAGGCCTCGAAATTAGCGTTGCGAAGGTAGCGATTCGCTACCTGTTTTCCCAGAACACTACTTGTCATTTCCTCCAATTAGCTAATTTCGCTAGTTCCAGACAGACAGATACAGGTAAGAAAAAAGATCCAACTTCTGAGAAATGAAGTGAGCGATAATAGAGTACTCACACTAAAACGTGATAAAAAATGACACATGTTGTAATTCGATGCATCCTCCCGATAAATATGTATTAGTGGGTCCTTTTCACACAATTAAAAACTAATATTATCTCAAAATAGGCTGAAATGAATGAAAGAAATGTTCAAATTTAGAGTCGTTTCCGTATTTAACCAAGTAGTCTTTCGCGCAGCTTTTTTGCGCATGTCAACATGACGGTCAAGGTCATGAACTTTAGTTTGACGTTTCCTCTTTCTTTCTAATATTTCTCGTTTTCTTACGACTTTTACATGGAAAATGAAGATCTATTGTTACGTACGAAAATAACAGAAGGTAAAAACAGCAATTAAAATATGATAACAATATATTTATATTTTGAAAACTAAATAATATAACAATAATATAAAGGAGATTTAATACTTATGTGATGTCCAATCAATGATACGGCTTATTCTTGATGTCGATAAATGTCGTTGACGATCCTTGAGAATGTTCCAGATCACGAAATGTTTCAATAATCGTTAATAGTTCTCCAATGTTTGTAATATTCCAATAATGTTTGTTGTAATCCTATAATGTTCGTATCCAATAATGTTTGATGATAATCCACAAATGTTTGATGATAATCCACAAATGTTTATGATAATCCACGAATGTATATGATATTCCGTATATAGTGTTTGTTGCAATATATGTCCATATAAAAGTCCTCAGGTTGTATGTTTGCACTGTTATAAATGTTCCCAAAGTAGGTGTCTGTAATTTTCTGCTAAGAAGATGTCCTTTTGATCAACTTTGAAATTCTGCTGACAGCCCAAATCAGCTCTCTCATTATATAGTGCAAAGGCATAGTCCAGATGTTTCAAGAAGTTACGATTTCTAGAAAATAACACTGATTGGACATCTTAAGTCACATGATTCAATCTTGATTAAATGATTACAGTTCCAGTACTTTCTGGAAGGCCAAGAGTTAATGAGTCATTCAGTTCAGTTATGTTTACAAGATATAATGTCATTGTGACCTTGACTTGACCTAAGATCTCTAATGAAGATCAGTTACAGTATATGCATATTGATAAACTAAACTTAATGTGAATATAATAGAATATAATACTGTAACACCTCCCTCCTTAAAAGAAAAGTTTTGAATACAATGAAAAACTTTTACAATAATATCTGGTGTAGCGAGGGTTACAATTTTTAATGATGAGGTTGAGACTTACATAACATTTGTTTACAATTGTCAAATACAATAATATTTATATTGTTACAGATTGAGTAAACCCAAAAACATATTACAATAATATTATCAAATCACATTCGAAGTACAATCTTTTTTATTATATCAACATAAAGCCTCAAGTATATTCAGTATAAGCCAAATAGCCTCTTAAAAATAGAGGTATTACACTCTTGAAAGAGTGTCAGCAATTAAATTATCCTTGCCTTTGATGTGTCTTATGTCAAGATTGTACTCTGACAATAACAGACTCCACCTCAACAATCTACGATTCTTGTTCTTCATTCTATGAAGGAATGTCAGCGGATTGTGATCAGTAAATACAGTAACTGCATGGACTGGTGCACTAACATATACTTCAAAATGTTGTAATGACAGAAGTAATGCTAGACATTCCTTTTCTATGGTGGAGTAGTTTTTCTGATGCTTATCAAATTTCTTCGAATAATAACACACTGGATGATCAATACCATCCCTTTCTTGTAATAGGACAGCCCCCATTCCTACATCAGAAGCATCTACTTGAATTTTGAATGGCTTGCTAAAATCAGGTGCAACAAGCACTGGTTCTTCACTTAGTATGGCCTTGATTTTATCAAAGGCTGTATGACATTGCTCAGACCACACATATTTGATGTTTTTCCCAAGTAAATTGGTCAATGGAAGAGCAATTGAAGAGAAATTTGGACAAAACTTCCTATAAAAGCCAGCCATTCCAAGACTTCTCATTAATTCTTTCTTGTTAGTAGGAGCTGGGAGTTGTGTAATTGATTCCACTTTGGCACTCACTGGTTTGACCTGCCCCTGACCTACCACATGGCCCAGATATTCAACTGTGGCTTTACAAAATTCACTTTTAGCCAAATTGATTGTTAAATTGGCCAGAGAAATTCTTTCAAACAACTTACGCAGCAAACACATGTGTTCATCAAAAGTGTCAGAATAGACAATTACATCATCGATGTATACACCAGTGTTTTTGAGATCTGCTAATAAGCTGTTCATCATTCTTTGAAATGTGGCAGGTGCATTTTTCATACCAAATGGCATAACCTTAAATTGGTACAAACCATCAGGAGTAACAAAGGCAGATACCTGTTTTGCTCTTTCAGTTAATGGAACCCCTAGGAATCCTTTGAGGAGATCAAATTTACTGACATATTTAGCAGTTCCAATTTTGTCAATACAGTCGTCAATTCGTGGTATTGGATAAGAATCGGTCTTTGTTACTCGATTCACCTTGATATAATTAACCACTAGCCTACGTCCACCGTTTGATTTTGGAACAATGAAAGCAGGTGAACTCCATGGGCTATTGCTCTTTTCAATTATGTCATTTTCTAACATATAATTGACCTCAGCTCTCAAATCTTCAGATTTTGATGGATTAACTCTATAAGCATGTTGCTTAATAGGGGTTACATCTTGGACTTCAACATCATGATAAGCTATAGATGTCTTAGTCGGTACATCAGAGAAGATATCAGTGAACTCATGAATTAATTCTGTGACTTGTTGTTTTTGATCATTTGTCACATGGTGCAATTTATGTTCTAGATTTGATAATACTTCAGAGTTCTTTAACCTAGACAAACCTTTGATATCTTCATAGTCTAAATCAGTATAAGTGATATCATCTGAATCTTGTAGATCAGTTTCTTTTACAAGGGCAGGTGCCAAAGTGACTACAGGTTTAACTGAGCCAGGCTCTTTGTCTGGCTCAAAGTACATTTTCATCATATTGATGTGACACAGTTGTGTTTCTTTGCGCCTATCTGGAGTTTTGACAATATAATTGAGGTCATTGACCTTAGAATCCACTACATAAGGACCATAGAATTTTGCCTGTAATGGATTTGTCTGAAGTGGCAGCAATATAAGAACTTTGTCACCTGGCTGGAAAGATCTTTCTTTGACTTTTCTGTCATACCAAGTTTTCATTTTATCTTGGCTATTTAGCAAATTTTCTTTGGCTATTTCACAAGCCTTTGAAAGGCGCTCTTTAAAGGGAATGCGAAGTTTCATGTTCTGATTTACACGCTGGCTACTTATAACCATCATCTATCACTTCAGCTCACTCATGGGACATATCGTGTTTGAACTAACATATAATTCAAGTTCAAAGTACCCATATCTGGATCGCTGCGGATGCCGCCATTGTTATGTATCAATGACGTCATTGATGCCTTAAAATTGATGCCTGGGAAATGTCGCTATATAATCACGTCATACTCGGATCGCAGAAATAGAACACATTTCACTGATATTTTATAACTATTTCTGTCCGCTTAACATTGTTGCCGCATGTTCATGTCCATATCATATCATATATTTGGAAAAGTTGTTTCAATATATTCTTCATAGAAATTGAATTGTTGCAATGTATTTTTTCAAATGTTTGTATTTATTTTCTCCAATGTGATAAAGTATAGGCTAGGTAGAAGAATCACTAAACTTATGAGATATCGGCTGCGCGATTCGGAAGTCATCGCATTATATTCCACTTGAAAAATATCCACTAGAATTATTTTATATAATGATAACACTGGGTCAAAAAGGATAAATCTGTTCAAATCCTGTAAATGCTTTCTTGTATATTTTAACCAATAAACGAGGTAAATGCATTAAGATATTCAAAATGGCATTTACACATAAATGCATTACTGTGCATCAATGCATGGGGATCTATTTAACTAAGATTAACGTGGCTAATGTGCTGGCGTATTTGTTGTGAAAATAAGTAAGTTATATCATCGGCTGAACGCATCCAACAAAAAGTTGCATTTACCATATTTATGTAAATACACGACATACCATTTAAAATATCAAAATCTATGCTAATGTTCATTAATGCGCTGATGAGCATTTACGGCACATCATTATTAACCTTAAGGTACGTGTATACGTCGGCAAATAGGCATACTGCTGCAATTGCTTTCTTACCTAATCATAAATGGTAGATTTCTTCAATCTGTAGTATTCTATTCAAATATGTATAGGTGCATGAATAGGTGCATATTGGAGAATGAAGGAAACAGTAACTCCCTAAAGTGTTTAGCCATTTAAATTCTGAAGAAAAACAAAACAACGAAAAATCGATGTCGTCTAAATGATACGTATGTAAATGTCAATCTCCTAAATATTAAGATTGGCATGCGCAATAGCTTTACAAGGACATGCCACTGTCATATTTTCAAAGAACAATACGTAATGTTTAATTTTTCTCAGTTGTTAAACGACCAATTTCAATCATCATATCACCGTAGCGACATTCGATATGACAAAAAAGCTTTTCAAAATTCAATGGCATTTCACCTTGGATCATGACAAGAGAAGCCTTATAACATTCAGTGATGCGGGGAGACGATTTCATTTCAACGACGATAAGGCAATTGCCGTATTGATAGTACGCCAATAGTTTAATATTTTATGATTTCGA